TATTGATCATCTCAAATGCATACAAGAACAAGCACTTTCTGTTACATTATTATTACTTGGTGTTTTTGGAGACAGGATCTTGCTATGTAGCTCTGGCTGTCCTGGAGCTCACTCTGTAGACCAGGCTAGCCTCCAACCCATAGAGATTCACCTGCCCCTGCCTCCTGAGTGCTGGGATTAAAAGGTGCCCAGTTCTGTTATATAATTATAATGTAACTGTCAAGGTCAAATAGTTACTCTTGCTATATTACCACTCTTTAACCTTGGGCTCCATTCAGTTTTGCCCATTTCCTTATTTATTTTGTAACAAAGGGATTGTGTTCAGCATTCTGGTTTGCATTTCATTCTAGAGTCTCTCTAGATTTTTTCTTGGATTTTCAAGACAGGGTTTTTGTGTGTAGCCCCAACTGTCCTGGAACTCACTCAGTCTGTAGATCAGACTGGTTTCCAATTTACAGATCCACCTGCCTCTATCTCCCCAGTGTTGGGATTAAAAGTGTGTGCCATTGCCAGGCCTCTTTAGATTCTTAACCCAGAAAAACTTTTAATTCTTTAGTAACTAATAGATTATTTTGTAAGAAAGTGTTCTGAGTCTAAAGGACTGTTTGTTACAACTTGATACTTAGTTATCTGCAGTTGTCTAGATTAATTAGGTCAGTGAAAGTCCTTCAGTGCAGTTCCTGTTAGCTTTTCTTTTCAGTTCCTTTGAGTATGTTGGTTTATTTTCTTTTGTGGGTGGGTGGGTGTGAGTGAGATAGGAAGAGAAGAAGGAAGTTGGGGATCTTTCATACCTAGAACTGGCCCCACAAGTCTTTTTTTCTTGTCCAACAGTGAGGTTGTGCTTTGTTGTTTATGTTCTGAACTTTCAGCTGTGAGCAAACAAAAGAGAGTTAAAATATGGGAAAGGATGTTGGCGTTGTTTAACATCAGAGGGAAGAGTCCTCAGAAACCCTCGAAACAGTCTCTGTCCCCCATACAGGGTTTCTCTGTGTAGCCCTGTAGACCCGCCTGGCCTCCTGAACTTGGAGATTTGCCTGTCTCTGCCTTCCAAATGCTGGAATTAAAGACCTGCACCACCACCACCACCTAACAGTTCTTAATGTAGTTCACTCGCTCAGCACACAAATCTGAGAATCATATTCAGGTTGCTGTGTTTGTAAAGCAGGTACTTTTTATACTTAAGACATCTCCTTATCCCTTAAGGACGCATTTCTCAACCCCTGGGAGTTGTACATTAGATATACTGCATATCAGATATTTGCCTTACTATTCATAGCAGTGGCAAAGTTGCAGTTATGTAGTGGCAATGAAATAATTTTGTGATTGGGCTCACTACAACATGAAGAACTGTATTAGAAAGTTATAGCTTTAAGAAGGTTGAGAACCATTGCCTTAATGCAGTGTTTTAATGATTAGTGTTGGTGCTATTTTTATGTTTGCAGTGTTATCTCTTTAATTTAAAGAGGGTCTTTGCCTGATATAACAGTAGACATAGGCCATCAAACAAACCTTTGCTGATTTGTTGATTCATTTGTGACCTAGGTCTAACCCATACCTTTGAAGAGCTTAGTTTTTTTTTGTTTTGTTTTGTTTTTTTTTTTTTTTTGTTTTTTTTTTTTTTCCTTCTTCTTCTGTTTTTTTGGAGACAAGGTTTCTCTGTTATAATGGCTCGGACTGTCCAGGAACTCGCTCTGTAGACCAGGCTGGTCTTGAACTCACAGACATCCACCTACCTCCTGAGTGCTAGGATGAAAGGTGTTCAGCAGTGGCAGCACCAGCACTGCTACCAAGATGCATAAGTAATATGAAAGAGATGCGTGAAACAGTAATTGTCTTTATTGCTTCAAAACTGATAACAGAGGGCAGGAATTTCAGGTGGCTGAGCTCTTAAGAGCATTAGCTGCTTTTTCAGAGGACCTGGGTTCACTTCCTAGCATCCACATAGTGGCTCACAACTGTCTGTAACTCCAGTTCTAGGGGTGCTGCCTTTTGGTCTTTGCAGGCACCAAGCACATGAGTGATACACAGACTTACATGGTGCAGAATGCCCATACACATTAAAAAAAAAATCTTAAAACTGCCACAAAAGTAATAAAATTAAGATGATCAGGGAAGTCAATATAATTAAGCTTTAAAGAAAGTTTAAAAATGCATTTCTTATTAACATAGCTACTCCAGCTTTCTTGATTATTGTTTGTGTGGCATGTTTTTCCATTATTTTATGGAAAAAGATACTTCCTGTGTCTTTGCCCATAAAGTGAGTTTCATGGGTAGGTAGGTATATAATTCAATTCTCTGTTTCTGTCTCTGGCTGTCATATGCTTGATCTCGCCCCCCCCTCCTGTGTGTGTGTGTGTGTGTGTGTGTGTGTGTGTGTGTGTGTGATGGCCTATATATGCCACAGTTGAATACAGAGGTTAGAGGACAATTGGAAAGTTTGGTTCTTGCCTTTACTCTTGTTTGAGACAGATGGAAGAATGGGGAGATGAGAGGAGAAGGAACACAATGATGGCATCTTTCCAGGGGATATACCTAGGAAAGAAGAACACCAGGGAGATTGTTGACCTAAGGTACATCTTGAGAGGGAGAAGTTCTGCTTTTTCTAAATCTTGGCTACTGTTTGTTGTCCTTTTATTCCTGAATGGCATTTTCTTGATTGCCAAGGATGGCAAACAGTTTCTCAAGCATTTGTTGGTCACTTGGGTTTTATTTGTTTGTTTTGAGAACTGTCTATTTAGCTCATTAGACCATTAGATAATTGTATGATTTGGATGTTTTGGTGTTGAAACTTTGTAGTTCTTCATACCCTGGTTATAATCTTCCATGCAGTTGTTATCGATCCTCCTATCCCCCCTCATTCCCCATTTTGGAGACATTCTTTTCATTTCAGTGATTGTTTCCTTTGCTGTACAAACACTTTTTACTTTCATGTGATCCTGTTTATCATGTTTTGGGATTGTTTCTGGTGCTATTGAAGGCCCTTTCAGAACAATCTTTGCCCATGCCTATGTCTTGAAGTGTTTTGCTTATGTTTTCTTCTAGCATAGTGATTCCCAACCTGTGGGTTGAGACCCCTTGGTGTTGTCAAATGACCCTTTCACAGGGGTCACATATTAGATAATCCTGCATATCAGATAAAATTTACATTATAATTCACAACAATAGCAAAATTACAGTTATGAAGTAGCTACAAAAATAATTTTATGGTTGGGGGTCACTACAACATGAAGTACTGTATTAGGTCCCAGCATTAGGAAGGTTGAGAACAACTGCTGTAGCACTTTGAAATTTCACATTAAGATCCATTTTGATTCTTTTTTTTTGGGGGGGGGGTTCGAGTCAGTGTTTCTCTGTGGCTTTGGAGGCTGTCCTGGAACTAGCTCTTGTAGACCAGGCTGGTCTCAAACTCACAAAGATCAAGTGCTGGGATTAAAGGCGTGAGCCACCACTGCCCGGCCTCCACTTTGATTCTTTGATCCATTTTGAGATGATTTGCAAAGGATAAAAGATGGATCTAATTTCTTTTACATGGGGAAGTCTAGTTTTTTTTTCATTTTACTTTTTTAAAAAGGCCACATCTTAAAAATGTAAAAAGAAAAAAAGGGATACTTTTGGTGGGGGGGGGGGGGTTGGATTTCTGAGCTTTAAAGGACTATTTGTTTAGGACTTTCTTTGATATACTTTAAGGAACTTGAATTAATATATGGGTTATTGCTTTGTCTTAAATTTGTAGAGTGTTGTCTGAATTATCCTGTCATTTAGAATATTTGTTTTAGGAATGGATTCATTCATCTTTCACTTTTCTCTCCTATTCCCCTTGCTATTAATATATTTTATTGATATACCTTATAATGTTAAATAAGCCATGTCAGTTTTTATTGAAGGCTATCAAAGTCATAACAACAGAAAGACTGACCAGTTAAAGATTTTATTTGAGAATCCACTTCACAGATTGTAATATTGATAGTAAGATTACATTTGGTAGATAATCTCAATATCTCTTGATCTCTAAAAACTTTATGATCTATGTTGGACTTTTCAAAAAATCAAATAGGTTGTGTTTTTTTTTTTTTTTTTCTAAAAAAAACCAAAACAAAACAAGAATGGGATTACCTAGGTTGGTCTTGAACTTGCTGTGTAACTGAGGATGACCTGGAACTTAGATCTTTGTACCTGCACCTCCCAAGATCACAGGCATGTACTACTGTGCATGGTGTATGTGGTTCTGGGGATGAAACCCGAGACTTTTATGCATGCTAGGCAAGCACTCTACTAACAAAGCTGTATCCCTATTCCATTGTACATTCTTTAACTATTTATTCATTTTCCATTTATAAATCACTGAGCTAGGGCTAGGGGAGACGCTTAATGCATGTGAGACCATGTTAGACCTGCAGCATGCTTCCCAAATCAGAACATAAGACAATTACTATCCTTCCCTTTTTCTCCAGTTTTGGTTGGCCTTGAATGGTGGCCCTCCCACATCAGCCTCCCAGTACTAGGATTATAGACATGTTTTACTATACTTGGCTTTTTTTTTTTTTAAATGAATTTTGTTTTCTACATCAAAGACACTGCAAACTGCTTTCTTTCCCATTTTCTTCCCTCTTTGCTCTCTCCCCATGCTAGGCAAGTACTCTACCTCTTAGCTGCATCCTAGCACAGTAGCTATTATCTTACCACTGTTGGTTTAGTTTTTCCTGTTTTGTTTTGAGGGATGAAAATAATTGTGGTATTCTGGAATTTGGTGGAACAGGACTGTGTTGATTCAGTTATTGTATCTTCAAAGTTATTTTTGTTCTATAAATATTGAAAATCAATAAAACAAAACTAAGAGAATGGAACAAGAGACAGAGTTATTAATGCAATGTACTTATGCACAATAGTGGTTTAATATAGGCACTTAAATCCTATAGAAGCTGTTATTCTGAATTGTTGGGTGTTGACTAGTCTGTTTTCTATTACTGTAATGAAATGTCTGAACTTGGTACTTAATTAACAAGAGTTTACAGCTCAGGATGTGAAGAGACGTGGTACCAGCATCTGCTCTGCTCTGTTGAGTACTTATTTCATGTAAAAAGGAGGTGTCTTCTTGACAGGATACTAAAGGAGGTCAGTGAGATACTTTATCACTTATTTATTAGAAAGTAGTAGCTAAAAGTAATATGAAAATCTCTTTTTTGGGGGGGGCGGTTTCCCAGACAGGGTTTCTCTGTATTCCTTGGGAGCCTGTCCTGGAACTTGCTCTGTAGACCAGACTGGCCTCGAACTAAAAGAGATCCTCCTGCCTCTGTCTCCCAAGTGCTGGGATCAAAGGTGTGCGCCACCAATGCCCTGTATAATATGAAAATCTTCTACAGTAATCTAGATCATAGATACTTGATTGTAATTTTTTTTTAAGAGGAGTGTACTGAGTGAAAAAATTTGGTGTCTATACATGCCTGGTACTAATGTATTAATAAAGTTTTTAAGTTTATGTAGTATGTGATATAATTGGTATCTGGGTTAGAATAATCATATCTCACAGGAGTACAATTATTAAGTGCTTATTTAAGGAGTGTAAAATACTGACTTAGGGACATACTTATTTAATGAACACAATACAATATATTTATTCTGCATAACTAGGAAGAGGAGTTTAAGGAATTCACATACTAAGCACTGCTAGAATGAAGTGCAAGTGCTACTTACAACGGAAAATGACTTTTTCTAGAGTTACAATGTAGCAATGTGTATCAGTATGTAAGGAATTGCTACAAATACGATAATCATGTGTCAAGAAACCTTTCAAAACTTAAGTGTTTAAAAAGAGACTAGTTCTAGAGTTAAAACTCACAAAGATTTTATTCTGTATTTAAAAAGAATAGAGCACAATAAATTCAGAAACACTTTGAATCTTTTCTCCCCCCCCTTTTTATAGATGGAGAGTCTATTCTTATTCCTTTTAATAGTCTATTTGATCATTTGTTTTCATTAATTTTAATCTTGAACTCTTGGAGTTTTTTCATAGTTTGAGTATGTGTGTCCCCTTCAAATTTCATGTTGAATCTTTAGTTCCTAGAGGAGGAGTGTTAACAGGTGGAGCTTTGAAGGGTGTTAGGCCATGTGTGCTCTGCCCTCTGCGATGGGATTAGTTACTTAATGCTGGAAGGGTGACCAGCATGGCCATTTTGCCCATCTGTCCACTATGCCATGTGAGGCCACTATAATAAGGCACCAACTTAGAAGCAGGAACTGGTCCTTTACTAAATACAAACCTGCCAGTACAGCCCTGTGAGAAATGTTTAAATTATTTATGGGGAACACAATGTTAAGTATTTTGCAGCACACATGAAGTAAGACAGATTTATTTTCTGTGCCCTGTGTAGTTATCAGTTTTCCCTTTCCTTTTTTTTTTGTTTTTCTTTCCTTTTTAAAGTTTGGTGGATTGGGGGGAATTACAATTTAGTTTCACTGCTGTCCTGTTTTGGTTAGAAGAGAAGGATTTAACAACAAAAATCACCAAATCTTCTATTTTTTTTAAAAAAGATTTATTTATTATGTATACAGTGTTCTGCCTGTATGTATGCCTGCACGACAGAGCAAGGCACCAGATCTCATTAATAGATGGTTGTGAGCCACCATGTAGTTGGGAATTGAACTCAGAACCTCTGGAAGAGCAGCCAGTGCTCTTAACTTCTGAACCATCTCTCCAATCTTCTCTTTCTTTACTGCCACCCACAGTACCTTTTTCTCCTGATTCTTTTGTTTGCCAGATGTGAGGGTATACTGCTCTTGCTAAGTGCTCCTGAAATAAGTGTTTGGTTATAAAATAAATCTGAAATATCTCAGTGGTCTTTTTGTTTTTGTTTTTTGTTTCTAATAGACATAAGGTTTAATCTGCTAAATGTGAATTCTTTTCTATACATGCAGGTTTCACAATAAGCATTATGGAATTAGTGATTTAAAAGTAAAATTTAAGGGATTTAGGTTTGGTTTTGTCATTTAAGTTAGTGATGGTATGAAAAATGAAGTCACAACATTTTCAGGAAAAATGATAGAACTGGAAATTATGTTATGTGAGAAAAGCCAGATAGATTTAGGCAGGCATCACATGTTTTCACTCATAGGGATTTAGAAAAGGTGAGGGGAGATACAAATCCAGAAGGGACTACTAGGGAAAGGATAGAATTAGTGGGGTGATATGAAAATGGAAGGGATGAATAGGATCATGATCATGGTATAAAATAGGTATATATATAGGAAAATGCCACAACGAAACTCATTGTTTTATGTAATTAATATATGCTGAGAAAAATAAAGAGGGAACTTCAATGCATCTATTAGTAGAGAAACAGTTTGAAAAGGAAATAAGCTATGATTTTAACCAGATAATCTAGCAAAGACAGAACTATGGGGACAGTTAAAAGGATCAGTAGTTGTCAGGGATTTGGAGTAGGAAGGAGTAAATAGGCAGAACACAGATGAATTTTAGGGCAGTGAACCTGTTTAGACACCACAGCTGTAAATGGTTAATAGATGTCTTTCATTTGTCAAAACTTATAGGTTGTATAACACCAAGAGTGTACTCTAGTATATTGAGTGATAATACCAAATCAAGTAAGGTTCATAATTTTAACAAATACACTACTCTGGTGTGGGATGTTGATAGGGGAAGTTGTGTGTGGTTACAGATGCCATTTGGGTTTTTTGGATGAATTTTCTGTGAACATATTTTGGCTGTCTATGTTTTGTTGTTTTTTGAATAGCGTTCTACTATAACCTCAGTTTACCAGATAATTCCATTTTAAGTTGACTTCTTTTTCCATCGGCTTGGGTTATTATGTCTATGTCATGAAATTTATGGTTTAATCCTTGCTAATTAATAGTTATATTAAACTTCTTATGTTAGTTACTTGTTTTTCTTGTTTTTTTGTGACAAAAAACAATTGAAAGGGTTTATTTTGTCTCAGAAATCAAAGGGATAAATACCAACTTGGTGGGAGAAAGTTAAGTGACAGGAACAGGATGCTGACTGGTTACATTGATCAGATTGTCCAATCTGACCAGGAAGCAAAGATCAATGCATCCTGGTGGTTAGCCAGCTTTCTCATTTTTATGGAATCTAGGGCATGCTGTGTTCACATTTATTTAGGGTCATCTTCCCATTTTAAACTAGTCTAGATAATCCCTGTTAGACATATCTCAAGATTTGTTTACAAGGTGATTTTAGATCCTGCCAGTTACTGAAAAAACAAGTCTACATAGGTGTTAGCTAACATCTACACATGAACCATGACACCCCCCTCATAATAATAGATAAACAAACAATTTTAAGAAGTACTGGGTTGTCCACAGACTGACTGACTTGGCTTGTTCTTTTATGTGTCAAGTGATTTCAGTTCAGAAACTGCTAAGATTAATATGCTTGGGAGATGGCAAACATAAGCATTCTCTTATGATTTATTCTATAGGAAATTCCTTCACGAGGAGAGATGAAGAAATCTATATATAATCAGAATGTGAGTGATCAGGAGTGTGACGATATGGAAGGTAACTTTTATAAAGCCTATGTGTCATTAGACTTTAGAAGTAAGATTTCTAAAGTTTTACTGTCTGTTGTTTTTATAGTCTTAGAATTGCACACTTTTCCTTCTCATGTTTTCATTGATTGAACATTTTTAGTTGAACTGCTGGGTTTTTGTTTATTTTTTCTTCTTGTTTTGCTCTCTCCTGGTTTAGGAATTTTTGGATTGAGTGCATGTGTGAGTGTGCATGTGTACGTATGTGTGTGTGTGGAGGCCAGAGGACAATCTTGGGTGTTTGGAGTGTTGTTCATCAGGCACCACTCACTTTTTTTTCTTTTAGAGACAGGGTCTCTAATTGGCCTAGCACTTGTCAAGTTGGTTGGCCAGCAAACCTCAGCAGTTGGCCTGTCTCTGCCTCCTTAGCACTGGATTTACAAGCAGGTGTTACTTGGCCAGCTTTTAAAATGTGTTTTCTGGGAATTGGCAAGCCGGTTGCTGACTGAGCCATCTGACCAGTCTTTTTAAAGTTTTAATAGTTAGCATCAATATTATCCTCTGAAGTTAATCTTTTTTGTTTGTTTACTTTGTGTGTATGTGTATTTTATCTCCATTATATGTCTGTTATTATGTGTGTGTCTAATATTAGTTTGTGTTTGATAAATTTAATGTGAAATCCTAAATGCCCAGTTCAGGTTTTCTTTTTAGAATTTGTATTTCCTTCATTTTAGACTCATACTGGAACCATGTGAGCTCCATTTGAGTGTCTTGGCTTAATACTGATCTATCTTTCAGATTAGTGTGTTCCTCTGCCTGGGAAGGCTCCAGGTTGTATTGAATTGTACAGTTCCTATTGCTTGCTTATGGCCCAGTATACATGCTTTTGTATAAGTTGATTACTGATAGGAGTTTAAATTGGTATAGGTCTCACAGAGACAGATTTGTCCCAACTATTCCTGTGTTGTAAATGTATATGTTGATCCAGTAATTCCATCTTTAAAGATTTGTAGATATAATTTTTGAATTATGAGATGATTGTGTTATGATAAAAGCTCATTGGTAGAGTACTTGTCTAATGTGTGGAGTTCTGGGTTCCATAATCGGCATTGTTTGTTTATCTTAGCCAATGGTTGAAAACAAATTAAATGTCCATTAATAAATTATTTAAAAAAGCAGATTAGTATGTGTAGTATTCTGGTGTTTGTGTGAAGAAAAAAAAGAAATATGGAAGAATGTATATTAGGGTTTACCTTGCCTTGGTGGCTTGCCCCTGTGATCCTAGTACCTGGGAGTCTGAGATAGGAGTATCCTGAGTTTGAAGCCAGCCTACCTATTGAGACCCGACCCCCCTCCCCAACACACACACACACACACACACACACACACACACACACGGTTTCTCTGTAGCTTTGGAGTCTATCCTGGAACTGGATTTGTAGATAGGATTGGTCTTGAATTTAGAGATCTGCCTACCTCAGCCTCCTGAGTACTGGGATTAAAGGTGTATGTCATCAATGAATGACTGAGAAACCCTGCTTTAATTTAGGGAGGGTGAGGAAGGAATTGCTTTTTGGTGCATCAAAAAATATTGGAGTAACAAAAGAAACTTAAAGACTTAGTGTTGGATTTGGTGGAAGTGGAAGGGTGTATGAGTAGGTTTGTCATTATAGTCATTGTTACTTAATGTTTGAATCAGGTAAATAATACTTTAAAATTAAATTTTGGCTCATTTATGTCCCCATCCCCCCACTGAAATATTTAAGTTGATTGAGAAAGTAGCTATGTGGTAGAACATGTGCTTATATAAGATTTGAGTTAAATTTCCTAGCATCTCTTTACTCTTGCTCCTCCCATAAAAACACACAGATACAGACACTGCACAAAAGAAAGCAAATGCTGGTGTTATTGAACTTAAAGAGTATGTTTGTCATTTATCTAAGATCTAATTGCAAAGTAGGAGGGTGGCCCTTGGAGCATACAGGCAACCATATATATTGCTTATAAGCATAAGTCATTAGTTTTGGAGCTTTTGAAAACTTTTTTTTCTTTCTCCTTACAGGTGAAGAAAACAGAAATAATGCTGGTACCTCTGGCCTATTGTACAATGAAGCGGACAGATGTCCAATATGTCTTAGTTGCCTGTTAGGAAAGGAAGTTGGTTTTCCAGAAAGTTGTAATCATGTCTTCTGTCTGACTTGTATTCTTAAGTGGTCAGAGGTAAGTCTGAGAATAAGCATAGGTAATAAATTATTGCATTTAATTTCCTATTACACATTTATTTCACTTAAAAAGTTGCCTTTCATAAATTACTCCATATTAAAGTATTTTCCCACTACTTTAGGAAAATTTCCCTGTTTATTCAAATTTCATCCTCATATTTCCTTCTAATTGTTTTTTACTCAGCCTTTTCATTCTTTTATGAAAGGAATTCTTTTATTAAGGAATTTTAATTTGTGTTTTGAAGGGCAGGCCAAATAGCTTTCTGACTCTAATTTTAGGGTATTACCTGCTTGCTACTAATAACATCTATCTGCATTTTGTTTTATGTTTTTCAGAGGATTTTCACACAGGTTTATTTGCTTTCTCTATGGAATAACAAGAATAGATGTCATGGTGTCTTTTCACTTTGAAGCTTAGGGATCTTATATGTTATATTCTGTAATTTGGCCCAGATCTCACAGCTTGGAGGATGTTGTCAATTTAGAATTATATTTTAAGTTGTTATTTTTAATTTATTGTAAGCTAGTTTCAGAGTTTGAGTTACAGATTTTACTTTGATTCTTTATAAAAACAATTAAGAAACAAGATATTTTGGGCTTTGACTATATTGAATCAGTTTGGGCCATTGAAGTGTATATTAATCTTAAGCCCTGTTATAAATTGTAAAAATAAAAAAATTCACTGTTTTTATACCATGTTTTCTGATTTATTATTTTGTGAGTATATAAAAATTAGTAAAGAAATTAGTAATTAGTAAAAATTTTGTTTATCTCAATTGTTTTTTTTTTTTTTTTTGTGCTTGGATGTTCTTTAATACCATTGAAAGACGGATTTAATGTATGAGAATGCTGTCTTTCTAGTTAACCTCTACAAGAGGTTCACTATATTTGTTGAATTAGTCTTTGTCAAGAAGAGACTAAGGTTAGGTGAAAATGCATTTTGAGAAAAATAATGAGATAAGGGAGAATATTGTTGTTAAATGTCCATATGTAACTGTAGTACTGATTAGTGAAATAATGCCTTTTCTCTACTACTCAACTACAGTTGTAAATTTTATTGAATTTAGTGCATCTGTGATGTATATGTATTTGACTGGGTGGGAGTTGAGAAACCCTGTTATTACTTGAGTTGACTTGAAGGTTTTAGTCTTTTTCCTGATTGTGTCCAGTGACTACATAATTATGAACTTTAAAATAATGTGTTTTTCCTTAAGACAATTAGAATGTGTAGACATGATCCTCCCTCCCTCCCTCCCTCCCTCCCTCCCTCCATCCCTCCTTCCCTCCCCACCTCAAGTGCATCTTTGAACATGTTACAGGTTTCTCTGGGGTATGTATTGAGACATTGGAATGGCTAGGTTGTAGACTGCACATATTTAACGGCACTAAACAGTGGTAAACTTTACTATATTTTAAGTTTGAAAATACTTGGCAATATATGTAAAAGTTAATACTTTTTTAACATACAATGTATTCCTTGCTTTTTGTTACTTTGTAAAAAGAAGTGAGTGTTGTAAAAAAAAAAAAAGTAAGTGTGTTTATGTGTGTGTGTGTCCACAAAGGCCAGAAGAGGCCCTTGGAGTTGGAGTTACAGCTAATTGTGAGCTGCCAACATGGGTTGGAAACCAAATGAGTTCTCTCCAAGAGTCTTCAACAGAAGAGCAGTTCCTAACTGCTTAGCCTTCTCTCCAGTCCTAATGTTCTTTGGAAAATAAACAACTTATTGAAGGGAAATTGCTTTTCAAAAGCAAGTTATGTGTACTATTGTACTTCTGTCTTAAGTAGTGATTACAGGTTTAGCAAAGTAAGTAACCTTGGAAGGAGAGAAGAGAGAACATTCTGAACGATTTCATTGTCCCTAGTGGAGATAGCAGCCATCACTAAGCCATTAAATTGACCATTAAACAATAGGACAATCATATTAAAATACTGTTCATTATAAATCATGAATAAACTTGTGTCTACAGAGTTACTTAGGCTTCTAAATTTTTATTCAATCTTTTGCTGTGATAACAATTAGATGGTTTTACAGTATGTAAATGCTTTGGCAAACTATCAGATTTTCATTTCACCTTTTTTCATTATCATTAAAGGCCTTTCCTCTCATTTTTTTCAACCTCCTGTTTAAAGAAGTATGCAGTTTGTTTCAGATTGAGTACTAGAAATAAATGCTATGTTTAGAGACCTTTGCAGATTGCATTTTACGCTCTTTCATTTAATTCACTATTTTAATGTTTATTTTATGTACAAAATAAGGGCTCTGGACTCTAGCAGTAATTTGCAGACATATCAAGAATAGCCTAAAGTTAAAATAATTTTTAAGAATCTATAGTTTAAAATTTTACTAATGTCCATTTCTAGGAGAGGCATAGTGAAATTGTGGTACTTGGAACTCTGTATGATAAGAAAAAGCATAGAATTTATTCTGGTTCATTTCTCTAGATTTTTGTGTCTTCCAGAGATTCAGCTCTGCTGCATTTTGTAGTTGAGGTTCACTGAAGTATGATTAAGAAATGGTATCAAGCACACCCTCCCCTTTCCGCCTCATTTTAAGCATTGAAGAAATTCTTATCCTAAGAAACTGGTATTTATAAAAGTTTTTAAATATATTTTAATCTAGTATTTTTATTTTGTACACACTCCTGAAAATTTTCATATCCCTAAAGTACCTATTCCTCAAATAGAAATTAGTTTGAATTTATCCATACTCTAAAGTCTCATTTCTGTGGTTAAACAAGCAAACAAAACTGCAGTGACTGACTGACTGTGGTCTCTAGGTAAATTATAGAATTTACTTTCTTAGGAGAAAGGTTTCAGCTTAGACCCGTGTTGAGGGCCCTAAAACCTAATGGCCTGCTTTAGGTAAACTAGAACAGATTGAAACTCTTATAACTATGTTCAGTTAAGAGATTCGTTAGATGGCAAGCCTCTTAGCTTAAAAGTATAACCAGGGTATGTAGAGTTCTGAAAAGCCCATATGGTGTTTTTATGTGCAATCCCAGTACTTGTGAAGCTGAGACAGGAGGATTGTCACATGTTAAGAGGGCAGGCAGCTTGTGATACATAAGAAATACCATGCCAGCTAGGGCTGTACAGCAAGACTCTGTCTTAAATCAGAGAGGGGGAGTAGAAGAAAGAGAAATGGAATGTTTAACAAAAATGTAATTGGCAACAATTGATAGTTTTAGTAAACCATCACTATTGGAGCTAATAATCTTGAAATATAGAAAAGGCCTTTGTACTGATAAGTATTGCTAGAGCTAGTGTGCTAAAGTTTGCCCTTCCAACCTAAAAGATTTCTTTTTCTGATACACACTGCATTTCTCAGCTGGAGAGATGACTAAGCAATTATGAGCATTGGCCATTGTTTCAGAGGACCTGATTCAATTCCCAGCACCCACATGTTGGTTCACAATAGTCTATACCTCCAGTTCCAGGGGATTTTACACTATTTTCAGACTTCTGTGGCTATTCTACATTCACATGGAGCACACACATACTCTCAGGTACATGTGCAGGACACACACACACACACACACACACACACACACACACACACACACACAAATATATTTTTCAATAGAGCTTTGAGCACACAGAAATTTAACTTAAATCATCTTAGTTTGCACATTTAAAATACAAGGTAGAGGCTAGAAAAGTTGGATGCATTAATGCAAGTAGTTACAGCCAGTCATATTAACGATCCTCTGCAGAAAAGATACCTCACCTGAATGTACTAAATAAGAAAATGGGCTTTTACTGTGGGTATTTAGAGAGTTATGGCTTGAGAAGTTAGAAGTATTGCATGTTTAAAGGGCTAAATAGTTTAATAGTTGATATATATTTATTTTTGGTGCTGAGGTTTGAACTGAGAACTCAGTGTTAAGCATGCTAAGCACATGTTCTATCTACACTGAGCTAGATGTGCTGCATTATAAGGACAAAGTGTGGTGTTTATGGTGTGTGTGACTAGTACAGTATTGATAACTACTGAGGTTCTTCTTTTTATCTTAATGTATTTTTTAAGCATCATTTAAAAATGTAATTAGTTTCCCTACATAAGGAAATTGTTGAACTTAACTCAGTTCTCTATTCCTATGGAATGCTGACAGCTTTAGTGTGAGAATGAAAGGTTAATGAAGTCAAACTGGACAGTTAGCAAAGTCAGCCTCGTGAGACTAGAAATGAAGATGCTCTCAAGGTGACAATGAACTCTTGAAGGGCAGTGTTGAGCACAGACAGGTACAAGTGTGCTTTTAGATGGATTGAACAGCAAAGGCCAAGATCTGAGAGCAGTTGACACCTGCTGCCTACAGAATGTAAGAAAGTGTGTGAGAATCTTCATCTAATATTCTTCCCACCAGTCAGGTAAATTAATGTTTAGATTTATATTACTTTATAGACTAGTTGTAAATGTCAGAATACTTAAAATGATTTATACAGACAATTTACTCAATTTTGTGTTTGTATACTAGGAAAAGAACCTTAATCATTAGATGTCAGATGTCATTAGATAAAGTATAATACTAGTGTTCACAGTAGTGTGTCTTGGTGAATGTGCAAACATTCCTTGTGAGTGTGTATACTGAATGCATTCTTACTGTTAATTTTATCACTGACAACCATTGATTTTTATAGACATGCTTCTGAAAGCTGGTGTAAAGAACCAGATGTATGCTGGGCAGTGGTGGCACACGCCTTTAATCCCAGCACTCAGGAGGCAGGCGATCTCTGAGTTTGAAACCAGCATGGTTTACAGAGCGAGTTCCAGGACAGCTGGGTTTGTTACACAGAGAAACTCTATCTCAGAAAACCAAAATCAACCTCCCCACCCCCCAAAAAACGCAAACAACAACAACAACAAAAAACAACCAAGTGTTTATTGGCAAAGGCTGTTTTGAATGGGTGTTTGGATATGATAGGAAATATGTAGCATGACTACAGGTGAGCATTTTGATGAGCCATGGCTAGCTGTGTTGGAACTGTCACTGAGGAAGGGATAATGGTCAACAGTTCTAAAATAAGCACCAACCTCTAATGGTATGCGTCCCTAAATCATCTTTGATTTTGAACTGTAATTTTGTACATAATATGCTTTATTTCTTAGTGGCAGAGGTAGGTGTTGTAGATGCCCGTGAACAGAAAAACCTACCTGTAAGCATAGGTTTAAGACTTAGTCTTTAAACACTTCCTTTAACACTTGCTTCTCTCTCTCTAGGAGGGGCTATCTATAGGCAGCCTATGTGATTGAGGATAGAGCAGCAGCAGGAAGCAAGAAATATTAGAAACCAAGAATCCTGAATTCCCAAATAAGGAAGGTTTCCTGTTCTTACATTTAAATATGGGTTTGTCTGAGCTGGGAATTTACAACGCTTCAGAATACTAGGGTATGTTTTACTGAAATCATTAGGAAAGATAATTTTTTCTCTCAAAATTGCCTCCTTATATAATAGTACAGAGCATTTGTTGTAAGATATGTGCTCTGTTTTTAATACACATTACACTGTAAAACAGTGAACAAGGTCTATTAACTTTGTAGTTGTATCATAAAGTTGGATTGTATCTTAGATACTTTGATTATGGAACTAATAAGATACTTTAAAATTACTTAAAGTCATATAATAAATAGGTGAATAATGGTATTTTTGTTGTATGATGAGGAATCAAAATGGTGAACATAAAATTTTTGCAAATAAAACGTTTAATAGTCTTTAACATTAAGCTCATTTAAAATATTAATTTTTATCTATATTAGGTTTAATAGTCTTTAACATTAAGCTCATTTAAAATATTAATTTTTATCTAGGAGCTTTTAAATTTTAAATATTTAAAATATTTAAAAATATTTTAAATAGGAGCTTTTAAAACTTGGAAGCTAAAAAATTCAGTTAGTGTTTCTATCCAAACAAACTACTTTGAAAACTATGCTTTGAAGACCAAAGTGTCTTGGGATTTTGTCTCTATCTACTAAGAATGAGAATCCCTTGGGAATGCCTTAAAGTAGTCAATCTAAGCCATTTAAAAACAAAACAAACCCTAGTGTAAAATCTTTTTTATTTTTATTTTTTTGTATTTTTTAAATCTTTCTATTTAAGTTATGTAGTCATCACATGATGTGTGATTTGATACTTGTACATATTAATGAACTTGGATCTGTAAAGGATACATTAAAGAAAAATAACAGTTCATAATTTCTTAAACATGCTTTGATTTTTCCATTGACTTCTGTAATTATTTAGATATACTATGGAGACTAGATAATTAGATTTCTGTTTCCTTCCTGAAATGCTCTTCTACAATATATGTTTTTTAAGATTACATATCAGTAGCATTGTTTCTTAGCCTTAGCAAAGCCATTTTTATCTACCTTTCTGGGCTTATTTCTTTACTTAAACTTTTCCTACCCGGAGAAGATAATGCAAATTTAAGATTCTGGTGTTAATTAAATCATCTTTAGAAAAGTTAAGTATGTCCAGATTATAACATATAGTAGTTGTTTCTCATCACTGCTACTTTTTTCCTGTTTTCCTTTGTTGTGTGTTTTTGTAATAGCAATGGAGATCCTTATTCAAACCAGTCTAGTCAGATCCAAAGCAGTTAGTCATAGTGGAGAAAAGAAGAGATCCTGCCCAGAACCAGGATCAAAGCAGAGTGGCTCAGGTGAAACCCTTGTTACTTTAAAAATTGCAAAGGAAAGTGTGGTGGGTGGTTAGCTGATGTTGAGAGGAAGTTTAATAAGGAAAACAATGAGACTATATAATTTTAGCTACTGACTGATTTGATACATAAATTTCTTTGAGTCATACATTCATTATAGGTAGACCGACAAAATAATTCATGTTTCACATTTTTATATGTATCCCATTGCAGATTTTCCTTTTGTTAGTTATCCTAGGTGTTTGTTAGTGTAGTTAAACTGAATCTTATGTAGGAACTAGTGTAGACCACACATTTCTCTAAGCATTGCAAACAAGTAATTACCACAGAAAGCTTCAGTTTTATTCCCATTTTCAAAAGTAGGTACTTGAAGCACAAAGAATCTATATAACAGGGCCCAAGTGTGGACAAAGGAGAAAATATGAAAGAACATAAATACAGAGCTTCTATGCATCTTAGTTTTCAACAAACACTGAAGGAAGCTTATGTTTCATTTAAATGAAATAAATATTTTCATTTTAAAGTCTTTCAAAATTACCTTTAAAATATAAATTAAAATATTTGGAAACTTTGGAAAAATGGAAAGCATTGGCCAGATTGTACTTTGTATAATTTCAATATAAATGTTAAAAATGTAACTTCTGAAAATTTCATAGTTAATTCCCACAGGCAAGTGCATTGTTAGGACATCAGTTCAAAGTTAAGATTGTATTTTAAATGCTTTGTTAGTAAGATGCAGAGTATTTGTTGCTACTTTTAAAACACACATTTTTGGTAGCAAATTAATAGCATCCTAATCCTGAGAATTTAGAAGTGGCTTAAGATGTCTTGTAAGGCCACATTTTTCTCTTTTCAGGGTGGTGAAACATTCTCCTGTCAGAGCCTACTTACTAGCAATAGAAAATTCACATTTTACTAAAGTGAAGGAAAGTAACTCATGTTCATATTTTAGCTGCTTTTTAATAACTCCGTGAATTTTGTGGAAATGTGTTATTATATGATCGGGGCCACACATTCTCTGTCCTACACAGCAGTTTCCAGTAAGGAATAATATAAAGTGAATTAGCTAAATTCCACAACTATCTTTGATCTTTTAGATGATTGCATTAAATTGCTATGATTCTTTTTGCTTGTAATTAGACTGTAGTTTTTCTTCCTATCCTTAAATTACTTTGATAATATAAATACATTCTTCTATATACATTTAATAATAGAATTATAGTTGATACATACAAATTTTTGAAAGCGCAATAATATATATCAAAATTAGGTTGATCTCTAATTCTAAAGACAAATTTTCTTACAAAATGAAGAACACATAATTAGAAGAAGACTAGAAGCTGGGCAACTATGTTCTTGTAGAGGCAATATATTATCTTTTTAAAAGTATTTGTTTTGCCGGGCAGTGATAGTACACGCCTTTAATCCCAGCACTCGGGAGGCAGAGGCAGGTGGATCTCTGTGAGTTCCAGACCAGTCTGGCCTACAAGACAGCCTCCAAAGCCACAGAGAAACCCTGTCTCCCCTCCCTCCAAAAACAAGACTAGAAACCTAATTTAAAAATTAGGTAAAGGTTATGGATAGATTTTTTTAAATAAAATTTTTGAATATGCTCTTAGAAATAAAATATGCTCAACCTTATATGCCTTTAAAAAAGAAAACTAACTTTTGTGACATACGATGCTGTTAAGAAAAATTACTATGAACTAATGTATGACCATTAATTTAGAAAAAAAATATAATTATATGACTTGTAATACTAATATTTGTGTATATTGGATAACTGCAAAATATGTAAGTACTTCTGGATGGATTATTTAGGGCTAAGGAGACTGGGGGAATCCTTCATTTTTCCATATTTTAATCATGTTCTCATTGCTAACACAACTATGTAGTCAAAATAATTTGGCAGAAATGCTAAATCATAGGCTATTAATATGAGTGGCTTACTTAAGGCATTCTTTTTATAGCTGAATTAGAATTATACAAGTTTAGCATTATAGCCAGCTTTCTATGGCAGAGCAGTAAGTTTGGAGTTCTCCCTTGATTTTACCAGTAGTTTTTGGCAGGTCCTAATGGAGTCTTAGTGGGTATTTACTTCTCGTGTTCACTTTACTCCAGTTAGTGTCATTCAGTAAACATTTGAATGAGTGAAGCAAACTTTAGGTGCCTGTGGTTTTGTGATATGGTACAGTCTTGAGTATTTCCTCTCCAATTTGAAATTGGAAAAGTATATTTCTGTGATAGTGAAAATTATAACTTGTTTGTGTGTATGTACCAATTTGAAATTGGAAAAGTATATTTCTGTGATAGTGAAAATTATAACTATTTAGTGTAGTTTGTGACCTCTTCTAAAGACATTTGTAAATATATAATTTCTAATCACTTCTCAGATACTCGCTTCTTGTCCAATCGACCGGAAACCTTTTCAGGCCGTGTTTGAACTCAGTGTATTTGAAGATTGTGGTAAGGTAAGCTTAGATTTCATTTTGAGTTTGTGAGTGTCATAAACTTCAAGTTAACTGGAGTTCCTCTGATTTGATAAATTTCTAGTTAATTTCTAGTGTTTTTAAAAATGGTTTGCCTGCCTGGTGCAGTGGTGCACGCCTGTAGTCCCAGCTACTTGGGAGGCTGAGACAGGAAGATCGCTTGAGTCCAGGAGTTCTGGGCTGTAGTGCCCTATGCAGATCAGTTGTCTGCTCTAAGTTCGGCATCAATCTGGTGACCTCCCGGAGCTGGGGTTCACCAGGTTGCCTAAGGAGGGGCGAACCGGCCCAGGTCGGAAACGGAGCAGGTCAAAGCTCCGTGCTGGTCAGTAAAAATGGTTTACCTTTAGGTTTAATATGTGCCATCATTTCTCTTTAGCATGGCAAGCACACAGCTCTCAATGCTTGTAACTAAAATTCTGGACCTTTTTCCTTTGCCTTCTAGAGTGGGAGTCCAGTGGACCTTTTAAGATGCTTTTTTTTAAGTGTTTTAAGATGCTTTAAGAGAATTTTTGTATTTAATTACAGAAGACTTACATCTCCAAAATATCAGCGCGATTCTTCCTGTATTTCCAAACAGTTTTTAGCTGGGCAGAACTTTGAATATGTTATTTCATAAAAACAAAAATGTTTTAATTGGAGTATTGGATTCAAATATAAAATTCCATAAAACATAAACTCCAAATATCTAAAATCCATTCTTATGAAAAACATAATTTGGAGACTAGCTAAGTAAAACTAAACATACATCAACATCTTTGTTCTTTTCTTTTCTTTTCTTTTCTTTTTTGGTTTTTCGAGGCAGGGTTTCTCTGTGTAGCTTTGGAGCCTATCCTGGCACTCGCTCTGGAGACCAGTCTGGCCTCGAACTCACAGAGATCCGCCTGCCTCTGCCTCCTGAGTGCTGGGATTAAAGGCGTGTACCACCAATGCCCGGCTCAATACCTTTGTTCTTAAATGCCATTGCTGTTATTCAGTATGAGTCATTATTATGTTTGGGTGTTTTTTTTTTTTTATTTTTTTTTTTTTTTTTTTTTTTTTTAGTTTTTCAAATTAGGTCTCTCTATTCTTTCCTTCTTCCAACTCCTCCCAGGTATTCCTGCCTTGCTAGCTCTCAAATTTATGGTCTCTAGACTCTTTCTTTATTTGTTGTTTCATAGATATGTTTGTGTGTATGTATATCTATATCCCTCAATATAGAAATACAATCTACTCAGTCTGGATAACATTACTTGTATGTATATGGTTTCAGGGCTGAGCACTTGGTAGTAGATAGCCAAGTGGGGTACTGTTTCCTGGGGAAGACGATTCTGCTTTCAGCATCCCTTCGGTGGCTGTAGTTCTTTGTCCAGTGTTGAAGCCCTATGAAATTGCCCTCCTCCATGTTAGTATGTATATCTACCTCCATGTTAGTATGTATCTGTCTGTTGGTGCCATCCTTGTTTGGGTCTTGCTTAGGCAGCCATGTTGATGAGACTTCATGGGTGTAGCTTCTCTAGGACACTCAGTCTCACAGCAGATATCCTGTTCCTCTGGCTCTTACAAATAATTAATATTTCTATTGTTGATTTTTGGCTTGTTAACTAGAAGAAAATAAATAGAAACATTCCTGAGTTCATGAGGAAACGAGGAAGATAGGACAGGACAGTGGTGAGTAAGTAAGATGTATGAGAAGCATAATAAATATATGAAAATTAATGAAACAAAGTTTAAGAAAAACCACAGACATATGTGATTCCTCTAAGGAAAAAAGTGTTTGCTCTCCATGACAGCTTGGTCACTGGAGGGGAGGGGGTAAAAAACAACTATTTTGGCATTACTTTTCAGTGTAGGTATTTTTTAACTTTTGATGTTTTTATTCATGAGTCTTTATATAAAGTACAAATACTATTGCAAGGCAAATAAACCATGTTCAAGGATTTGTGGGCTGGGGAGGTAACTCAGTCAGTAAAGTGTTTGCCATTGAAGAAGGATAAGTACTTGAGTTCCATGCCTACATTTAAAAAATAATTGAAATGGTGGTGTGTGCTGTGATCCTTGCCCTGGTTCTCATTGGCCAGCAACATAGTTTACTTAGCAACTAGTTTGAGGCCTATTAGAGATCTAGCCTTTGAAACAAAAACGTGAATGGTGCTGATAGAAAATACCTGAAGCTTTCATCTGACCTCCAAAAGTATGCTCAGACTTGGAAATAAGCATATACACAAAACAATAGGATCTGCTTGTTACATTTGTTTATCTGTTTACCAAATATGCAAAGTATCATATATATCTTTGAGAAAAGTCTTAATGTAATAAAAGTCAAAATAGATTTTCTGGAAGATAAACTTTATTTTCTAACCATTTTAATAAAATGATGTTGCTAAAGATATTTGTATGCTGCCCAGACTGGTTTTGAATTCTTGATTCTCCCAAGTGCTGGGATTAATTGCGTGCAATCTGTGACTGCACTTTTCAGTGAGACACTTTTGTTTCTTTAATTTTATAAGGGAGAATTGAAAAGCTATTTGCAGTGTTGGTATACTTCTCTAATCATCTTGCTTTTCTTACAGATTCAAGTAAAAAGACAGTTGAGAGAAATAAAAGACAAGGAAAATGAAAGGTTTTTAAAGAAACAACTCTCTTATCATGAAAGTTCCAAAAGTGATAAAAGGTTAGTGATTAACTTTACAAGTGTGATTCGGTATAACCTTACGTAATTAAGTAAATAGTAAGTTGAGCAGCTTCATACAGATGTATAGTAAATTGTGATGAGATTCATCTTCATTTCTATTATCCCTCCCCACTCCTGCTAAGTAAACGATGGCAACAATACTTTTGCCTATATAAAGCTCCAGTTAAAGTCGTTAGAGTTAGAGAATGTTAAATGAATGGGAAGTGACACTCATACAAGCTTTTTTTTTTGCTAGATGTTTCCAGTTGCTCCTTTAAAAAAGTAATAACCTCTCCTACCTCTATTCTGCATGGCTCAGTAGCCAGTCATCATAGTAAGGTTATTGTTTTAATACCAACATAACACAACTCATTGTATATTAAAATATAGTTCTGCCTATTAGTATTTGATCTGAGTGTATGAGAATAACCATTTATTGGCTTCCAGGATATTAATAAAATTTATGCATAATAGATTTACTGTGATGGCTATTGAATTAAAAATAAATGAACATCTGGGTGGTGGTGGCACACGCGTTTCATCCCAATACTTGGGAGGTAGAGCCAGGTGGATCTACAGAGTAAATTCCAGGGCAGCCAACGCTACACAGAGGAACCCTGTCTCAAAACACACTTAAAAAAAACAGTAATTAAACAAAATTTTGGTTGTTTAAAAGTCCTTTTAAATTTTTATTTGTATCTACAGAAAAGGAAACAGCATCCGAGAAGATCTATTGTGTGAAAGATTTCATTACTTGCAGGTGTCACATAGTAAGTAATCCCACTAGGTGTTCCTTTGTGTTGTAGCTTAGTGTTTGTGCCAGATCTCTCTCTGTGTGGCACTCTGTCTCTGTCTCTGTCTCTGTCTCTGTCTCCCTCTCCCTCTCTTTCTCCCTGTCTCCTTTCCCCTCAAGACAGGGTAGCACTGGCTGTCCTGTAATTCACTTTGTAGACCAGGCTGACCTTGATCTCACAGAGAATTGCCTATCTTTGCCTTTTGATTGGTACTCTATCACCTCCCAGTCCCAGATTTCTTAGTAGTATTTTGATTTTGAAAATAGTTGATAATGGAACTTCTTATATCTTACAATTACTTTACTTTGCTTTCATGGAGGTCATTAATGCTGTTCCCTATTCTTTTTGGTTAGGTGGGAGGGAGAAGGAAGGAAAGGAAGTGTGTGTCAAGAGAAAAATAAAGTTTCCTGATACTTGGTGTTTAGTAGCCTGTATTGTAGTCTTATTCCACACATCCAGGAGTGGTGGTAAAATGTCTATGGATCTTAGACATTTGGGGCTTTGGAGTATTGGCATAGATTGGCTGGCTAAGCATCACCTTAGGGATGCTCTACCTATCTTTTGTCTCTTGTGGTGAACAATAAGTTTGGTTGTGTTTGCCATTTATAGTAAATTCAACTTACAAAAAAAAGTCTCTCAGGTGCTGGGCGGTGGTGGCAAAAGCCTTTAATCCCAGCACTTGGGAGGCAGAGGCAGGTATATCTCTGTGAGTTCCAGACCAGCCTGGTCTACAAGAGCTCGTACCAGGACAGCCTCCAAAGCCACAGAGAAACCCTGTTTTGACCCCCCCCCCAAAAAAAAAAACAAAAACAAAAACAAAACAAAACGCCTCTCAGGCATTTCCCTTTTCCTTTTGTGGGGTCTGCAGGTGTGCAGATGTGCCTATATGTGTATGAATCCTTGCATTTGGAAGCAAGAGGTTGTTGTTGTTGGGTGTCATTTTTAATCAGTCTCAACCTTAGTTTTTGAGACAGGGTTTCTCACTAACCTTGTAGCTAGATCGTCTGTTAGCCTGGTTGGCTATTAATCCCTTGGGATTACAGGTGTCTCCTCCCATAGTCACTTGTTATGTTGGTTCTAGGGCTTCAAAGTCAGGTCCCCATGCTTGCACAGCAAACATTTTACCACCAGAGCCATCTCCCCAGCCCCTTTCATGCATTTCTAAGGATATGCTGTCTCTGTTTAATTACTAATTTGTAGAGTTTGGAGTTAGACTTTGAATGCCCATTAAGTATTGATCTTTAATCTCAGAGTCTTTATTATCTTAGTTTATATTGTACAAAAGGATGTTTTTCTAGACTTTTCCTGAAGTGCTTGGGGTGGAACTCAGGAAAATTCTATAGTCTGAGCAAGAACTTTTCCCCACTAGTCCCATAGAAGAATGTTTTTTAAAATATCTTTGGGATTGGTGTTTACTGAAATGTGTTTGGTAGGTACTGAATTAAAGCCAGGACTCCAGTTTAGCATAGTAGATTGAACACCTGTTTAAGCCACATAGAGAACTAGAGGGAGGAAGCACAGAAGAGATGGCCTTGAAAATAGAAGTATAAATGTGATTTTTAGATGCATTTTTTATTTTATATGTATTATGTGTTTTGGCTGGTACCCTTAAAGTTCAGAGTGGGCCCTGGGTCCCCTGGACCTAAAGTTTTAGATGGTTGTGAGCTGCCACATGGGTGCTGAGAACCAAACCTGGTTCCTCTACAACTAGTGCTTTTAACCCCTGATCCATCTCTCCAGCTCCAATTTAGAGTAATTAACCAGTGTTGAATCTTTAATGAGAGTGTTGTTGGAGCTGATGTGGTAGAAAACAAACAGCTCTTTCTACAGAGCAGTTTGTCTGCTGGCTTCCTATGGGAGGCTTCCAAGAGAATAGCATTATGTATATATTCATTAGATAATGAATGAATCAGAACAATTCAGCACCTTTAGGGCATAAAAGATACAGTGTAACTATAGTACAGCAATTCTGTATCTAGTTGAACAGAATGGTTATTTGTAAACTGTAGCTGGATACCCACTAAGCATTTTTACTGTTGGCTTTTTAAGGATTTTAAAAATCATTGGCTCAGCTGGGCTGTGGTTGTGCATGCCTTTAATCCTAACACTTGGCAGGCAGAGACAGGTGAATCTCTGTGAATTCACGACCATCATGCCCTAAGATAGTTCCAGGATGGCCAAGGTTATACAGAGAAACCCTGACTCCAAAAACCAAAAAAAAAAAAAAAAAAAAAAAAAAAGTCATTAAAGGTATGGTGGAACACACCTTTAATCCCAGCATTCAGCAGGCAGAGGCAGCTGGATCTCTGAGTTGGAGGCCAGCCTAGTCTACAGAACCAATTCCAGGAAGGCCAGGGCTACATAGAAAACCCTGTCTCAACCAATCAGTCAATTAACCAATGGTTTCATCTTTTAGTTATAGATTAAAGTACAGAGCAGTAAGTTACTGGAACTTAGTGGGCTCACTTGACCCCATATCCATATTACTTTTGTTACACCAGCAGTATGTATGGCATGTTGGTGAAGGATGAGTGGTAATGAAAAAGGAAAGTAGTGTACTATTAAGTAGAAAATATGCTTTAACCAGCAGTATTAACAGAAGAAAACTAAGGACATGTGGTTTGCAGGAAAAAGGTCTCCTACTTTGTCTATGTGTTTTGGGGGTTTTTGATGATGGGGTGATCCATAGACCTTTTTTGAAGCAAGCAAAGCTGAGAAAATAGTTGCCATTAGCAGTGTAGATATTGTCTAGAAACTCTCAGGAAATACTACTGATTGTAGTAGCAACAGTTAACAGTGAACAATATATATATATACACACATAGATAGATAGGCAGGCAGGCAGGCAGGCCGGCCGGCCTCATGGACTGGGGAGATAGCTCAGTGGGTCAGAGACCTTGCTGTGGAAATGTGGAAACCTGAGTTTGTGTCTCCAGCATTCACATGAGATCCTGACAGGGCAACATGCTTGTAGCCTGGTTTTGTGGGGTGGAGATAGGTAGGCCCTAGGAAGTCACTGGCCACCAGAGAGGGTGGGCTTCAGACTCAAGTGAGACTCAGTCTCAAGGGAGTGTCTGCATACAAATGCACACACTGGAGCAGGAAAGCAAGCATGCACACACATGAGGCTTATTGGTGAATGAAAACTAGGTCTAGTAAGCTATACAGATGTTGATAGAACTTATCTTTTTGGGGAGTTTATCCTTTGTAAGGGGCTGAAGAGGTGGCTTAGCAATTAAGAAGATCCCAGCACTCAGCCACAACTTGCTGTAGTTTATCGATGGGGAGTGCAATGCTTCTGGACTCTGGGCACCAGTACTTAGATGTACATAACTCATACACACAGACATACTACCCATATGTGTTCAAAAATAGTAAAACAAATCTTTAAACAAAAAGAATATATTTTTACACTACCTGATTTGAAATTACACAAATAATTTCTAGTGATGATCAGCATGGTAGCAGCATTGCTGCAGCTGGATAAGAAACCCTAAATATGTTAATTGCACTTAAAAGACTTGTATGTAACATTTTTCACAAGCATTTGTATAAGGTGATAGAAAATGTTGATTAGAATCATACCTGTAAGGCTCTGTGCATGGCAGTTGTGTTTATTGTAATCTTATGTACTTTCCCTTTACCTGTGGTTTAGTAAGATACAATTAACATTTGGGAAGTTTTTTTCTTTTTAATGCAACACTCCTAGGCACTTTGACATTCTTTATCAATGTCAAAGGTGTAGAGACTTCGGAAATAAAATTTGAGACAAGTAACCAGGTTCTGTTTTGTTTGCTTGTTTTATAGGAAACTGTTCAGACAATAAAATTGGTGAAAAGAAAAATACTACAGTAAAGACAAATAAGGTTTGTTGAAATAAAGAAATAGATTTTTCTTAGATAATAACATTTATAGTTATTTAGTGCCTAAGGTGCATACCAATACTTTGAAGTATTTTTGTTTCTGGCTTCATTAACGCCTTTTTGTATTTTTAGGTTCAAAGATCAAATCAGTGTAGAGATCCTTGTATGGGGAATTTTGTACTCAGTTTGTTTTCATGTGGCAGCCACAGTGTGGGCCCTCGAGCCTATAGAGCTTCCTGGTTAGTATTCTCTGCCTTCAGCTAATGGTCTTTACACTTGTGTTTTAATTATAATTAATTTTTGGTAAACATTTTGACTAGGTTCAATAAAAGTGTTGAGAACTAATTTCTTGTTGTTCCTGTTGAAAACAAACTAGTTCCAGCAAAGAGAAAACTTGTTATTTTGTGACTTAGTCTGTCTGTTGATATTTTGTTTATGCTGTAACAAATAAAGCTTGCCTGGCCTGGCGTTGGTGGTGCACACCTTTAGTCCCTGCACTCAGGAGGCAGAGGCAGGCAGATCTCTGTGAGTTGGAGACCAGCCTGGTCTACTAGAACTAGTTCCAGGACAGTCTCCAAAGCCACAGAGAAACCCTGCCTCAAAAAAAAAAAAAAAAAAAAAAAAAGCTTGCCTGAAGATCAAAGTACAGACAGTGGTGGCACATTCCTTTAATCCCAGCACCCACATTAGTTAGCCATAGAGGCTAGTCAGTGGTGGCACACACCTTTAATCCCAGGACTCAAGAGACAGAGGCAGATGGATCGCTGTGAGTTCAAGGTTACCCTGGGCTACACCTAGAGTGAATCAGTCAAATAGAGAGCCAGAGTTCACACAAAGGTGATCTCAGCACTTGGGATCCCACACCTTTAATCTGAATTAGGGAGGTGGAGACAGGAGTGAAATGGCTGGACAGAGACGAATATAAGGCAGGAGGAGACAGAAGCTCAGTGCAGTCTGAGTACAGGATCACCTCTTGCTCTGAGCATTGGTAGAGGTAAGAACGCTAGTGGCTAGCCACTCTGCTTCTCTGATCCTTCAGCCTTCATCCTGCTACAAGTCTGTGTTCTACAGTGCCTGCCCATGTCAGTGAGTTTTGTTTTATTAGTAGTTTGCTGAGTTTAATTTTGATATATGCTGGCGAAACAAGGTTGTGAAATTTAAGAGTAGGACCTATTAAAACAGATCTATTTTAGAGCTAATTCTGTCCTTTATGGATATTTAGAGATTTATAGTTATATATTTGTTCAATTTAGATATTGAGGTTTTAAAATCACACAGACTTAACTAAACCAGAATTGTGTTCTTTTAGGGCTTGGCAGAGTACTCAAGAAAGTTACTTACATCTGAATCTCTTCGTGAAAGCTGAGCTAAATCTGTTTTTGGATAAGATAACGCCCCCCCAACACACACCCATACCCATTTATTTATTTATTTATTCCATTTATTTATTTATTTGTTTGTTTGTTTGTTTATTTTGGTTTTTCGAGACAGGGTTTCTCTGTGTAGCTTTGGAGCCTGTCCTGGCACTCGCTCTAGCGACCAGGCTGGCCTCGAACTCACAGAGATCCCTCTGCCTCCCGAGTGCTGGGATTAAAGGGGTGTGCCACCAACGCCCAGCAACCACACCCCTTCTTATTTTCTTATTTTATGCTAAAGTTAGGACATTTATGCTAAAGTTGGTCCTGAGTAAGAATGTCTCTCACCAGATGGAGTTAAATGTCTGAATAGGAAGTTGATTGTAGTCTGGCAGTATATCAGGTCAGCTTGGGCTACTTAAGACATCCTGCCACTTAATATGGAATCTCAAGCATTCTTTGTGGTATGCATTTAAATACAGTTTTGTTTTGTAGTATAAAAAGTACTTATTGTAGGGATATCCTTATTTTATGATGCTGAGTGTGGAAACTATTGCTGTTCTTTTGTAACTCAGTTTTTATTCTATACTTGACAGTTGTTGGAATTCTAATAAAACTTTTACATTTATTTTTTTAGTACAGAATCTGTAGATGTCAATGAAATGAGTTCATTGATTAGGCAAAAACGACAGGAAATGGAGTTGTCCTGGTTTTCTAATACATTACCTGGAAGTGGAAGGTAAAAATTGTTCACTAAAATTTATATGCTAATATAAAAACAAAAAATCATTAAAGTCTTAAGTGTAAGTTCCATAGTTGATAGGTACCTACTTAAGGAGTTTCTTCTACAAGTATATAAAACAAATGCCTAATGAAGATTTTCTGTGTATCTGCTGAAGCATTGTTTCTATGTTTCTGTTTTCAAACATACTCTTCTAAATAATGATTTGGTCAAGTGTCTGCTCTACCCTGGCCTTCAGGACTTTCTATAATCTAGTCCTTTCTTAGTGGTCCCAAAGCTGCTGTAGTGGCAAATGCACACTACTGATTCAAGCTCCTCTCTATATTGAGGGATTCCTGGACTTTAAGATTTAATTGTCACTGTGACAGAGTTCTATATTTAATGCCTCCATTGTCTAGAAATGATGGGAAATAAATGAAAGTAAAATTATGAAGTCCAGATACTTATATTTCAAACCATTTCCTTAGAGTTAAACAAGTAAGTGTATATTTCTACAGAATCTCACCTGATACTGATTGAAGTGGTCTTTTGTTAGGAGACTTAAATTCATTTTGAAAACACTTGAAGTGGATTGGGTTTGAATACAGAAAATCCTGGGGACTCTTTAACTGCTGGTCCACACTGTTCCTGAGAACTTTGAAAAGACATCACTCTTAGTTTAAGAATTTTAAAACAAAGCCAGGTGGTGGCACATACCTTTAATTCCAGCACTCAGGAGGCAGAGAGGCAGGTGGATCTCTGAGAGTTTGAGGCCAGGCTGGTCTACAGAGTGAGTTCCAGGATAGGCTCCAAAACTATGGAGAAACCCTGTCTCTGAAGGGGAAAAACGGAATTTTAAAACATTAATATAGCATTAAAATCCTTTAAGTAGCTGACTTGAGGGAGGGAGATAGGTTCAGAAGAACAGGAGGAAGCTTATTGAGAAGATAGAAATGTTCCTTTTTATATATTCATAATCCATACTGGATAAGTCATCTGTTTATATACTTAAAGGCGCTTACATTTTATCTTATAGTAGCAAAGAAAACAAAAGCTAAAATAGTGTTTGATTTGGTTTTTTGAGTTAGGTTTTCTCTGTTTAACAGCTCTGGCTGTCCTGGAACTTATTTTGTAGACCAGGCTGGCCTAGAAATCAAGGCCTATCTCTGCCTCCCAAGTGCTGTGATTAAAGTAGAGAGCAACCACCTTCCAGCTCTAAAATAGTTTTTTAAAGACTCAATTTTTTGTTTTTTGAAGATGTATTAGAGTGAGTGAGTGTGTGTGTGTGTGTGTGTGTGAGAGAGAGAGAGAGAGAGAGAGAGAGAGAGAGAGAGAGAGAGAGAGAGAGAGAGAGAGAGAGAGAGAGAGAGAGAGAGAGAGAGAGAGAGAGAGAGAGAGAGAGAGAGAGAGAGAGAGAGAGAGAGAGAGAGACTCCATGTGCCTTTGTAGGTCAGGGGAGGGGTCGGGATCTCCTGGAGCTGGAGTCACAGGCAGTTTGTGAGTCACACGGCGTGCATCCTGGGAACTGAACTAGAGTCCTCTGAAAGAAAAGTGCTCTTAACCACTAAACTATCACTCTACCTCCGATTATTTAAAAAGAAACAACTGCATTGTAAATTACCTTCATCTTGTTTACTTTTAACACACCTTTAAAAATTGGATTTTTTGTTTTCTTTACTTTGCAAATTGTGGCCATGTTTGGGTAGTTTATATGTTTATATGTTCAATTATTTGGGCAAAAGCATAAGCACTTCATTTTAATATTACTAATCTAATTTGGAGAATGCAATAGTTTTTAATTCCGAGCTGTTTTTAGACCACATAACTAAAGAATTATTTGCTTAAATTTTCAGAGTTGATTTTGTGCCATGGAGTGTTGAAGCAGAAGTCATTCCTCTGATTACCTCTGTGTTGCCAAGGACTATTTTCCCAGCAAGTACCATGTCATTAGACACTTTTGGTAAAGTTTGTAAATTTATTTTTATGTTTGAAAAATAATTATTAGCTCCCTTTACCTTCACAAACATGTGATTGTTGATAATGAGGAATAAATAGCTAAGTTAATTAGAGTAATTCTTGGCTATTTCTGTAAATATTTGGGCAGCGTCTGTCTTTAAAATCATTACAACTAGAATGCATGTGCACAACAGATTATCAAGTAGCCTTTTAAAAGGAAGGAATCCCATCTATTGTATTGGATGCATCCGGGGGGCATTATGCTGAATGATATAATTCAAGCACAAAATGACAATGAATGTAATTATAGTCATGTGGAATTGAGATTACCATGGCAGTTACCATGAAGTGGAGTGGGTTGTGGTTGAGACTGGGATTGGGAAATTACTGGTCAAAGAATACAAAGCTTGAGTAAAGAATAAGGACAATGGGTCTAGTGTATAAACGGTGATTATAGTTAGTAATAACAGCTTGGGAAATGCTGAGTGTGTGAAGTGTCTCCACTGCACACACACACAGATAACTATAGGAATGGTTAATTAGTTAGATTTTATCATTTCATAGTATGTATTTTATCATGTTGTGCATGGCAAATACATACAGCTGCATCAATTAATTTTCTAACTAGAAAATCTGTTCTACGGTTTTAAGACATGGAGAAACTGTCTTTGTCTAGGGTGCTAGTGTCTAAATCATGGCTCTTAAAAATAACATCTGCGAATTCATTATGAACAGTCTTCACATTCACTTACAGGTAGCATTTCCTGTTTCCTTTGCCTAGAAAGTATGTTCGAAAACAGTTTGTACCTAGAGCACAACTTCCTTTCCACTCTAAAGTTTTCCACCTCAGATCTGGCTGAACCTTATTTTAGTAGCATTAAGAAAATCCTGATGACCAGCTGGATATGATGTGGTACATGCCCAGCTCTTGGGAGATGGAAGTAGGAGGATCCAGGTGTTCAGGGTCATCCTTGACAACATAGTGAATTAAGGCTAACCTAGGATACAAGAGACTCTCAATCTCCCACCCCCCAAATATTGATGAAACCACTTATTACTCATTTTTTTGTAGAGATATACTTCACAAACATACTGTTTTATTGTATTACAGGCACTTGTTTTTCTAAAACTAACTATAGTCAAATTATATTTTGAAACACATTAAAATACCCTTTTATTTTTCAACATTGTCAGGTACTTATCATAAGGGATATGCATTAGCACATACCCAAGGAGGAGGAGAAAAAAAGCAAACTTCTGGCACATCAAATACCAGAGGATCAAGACGAAAACCTGCAACTACTGTTCCTACAAGGAGGTCCACACGAAACACAAGAGCTGAGACAGTCAGTCAGCCCCAGAAGTCCCCAGTATCAAATAATTCTGAGTGTGATGCCCCGGGGAATAGTAATTCCTCTGTAAGTATTTCCCCTCCAGCTGAATCAGAAAAGCAAACAAGACAGGCTCCAAAACGGAAGTCTGTAAGGAGAGGAAGAAAACAACCTTCATTGAAAAAGAAACTTCGGAAATCTGTACCTGCCCCTGAAAAAACAACATCTAGTGATTCAGTGGAGGAAGAAACTTTGGCAGACTCTGACACACCACCCATGTTGGAGAAAGAGCAACAGTCAGGTATAGAAAGTAGTAGCATTTCTTCTGTTCAAACAGATGGAGAAAATCATTTGGTTAATTGCTTGAAAAGTTGCAGTGAACAAACAGAAGAAAATGAACAAACCAAGAAGCATGTGCTAGATGAAGAAGTAGAATTTTTATATTCTGAACCTTACACTCAAGATCCTCCTATGCTTGTTGGAGAGGATACAGGTATAGAGACTAAGGAGTTAGGTGTGGAGCATGAGGTTTCTACAGATACTTCTGTAAAGGGAAGTGACCCATTAGGAAATGAAGAGCAGACATCTGGAAGTACAGAGTCAGAGGTACAGGCACTTGTGTGTGCAGAGAGCCCCCCTGATGATTTTCTCCCGTGTCCAGCTTCTGACATTGAAGGACCTCAACCAGTGTCTAGTCCCCTGGGTGAAAGATCTGAAAATATAGGGTCAGTGATCAATGATGAAACAATAGAGGAGGATCTCACAGTAGAAAGTACTGATGGGAAAGATTCGCCAGTAAACATAGAAGCATTTGAAGAGAGCCTCAAATTGGAATCTTGTGAGGGTGAAATCACACACACATTGGACAGGCACTGTGTTGCCAGCTTAGTCACTGAGTTGCCTGAGCATGTTCAGACTGTAAATACAGAAATAATGCCAACACACGATACTTCAGACAATGAAAATTCCGGTGCTATTCAAGATTGTGAAGACAATTTATTAAAGCATAATCTTGACAACACCCAACTGGACAAATCTTCAGAAGAAAAGAAAGAGTCTCTGAGTGAGCATCCCCTACCTATAGAGTTTTCTGATACACAGACTGAACAGAGTGAGAAACACTTTAGTGAAGATAACAATGAAACAGTACCTATGGAGTGCGACTCATTTTGTAGTGACCAGAATGAGTCTGAAATGGAATCATCTGTAAACACTGACTCCAAACAGTCCAGTGAAAATTCTGTGACACACAGTTCTGAAAACAAGCTCTCTTTTGATCATCCTGCAGTTGAGAAGGTTGAAACTGTAGCTCAACCAGCTGAAAGCCTACTGGACAAAGCCCCAAAGCCTCGTACTCGAAGATCTAGATTTCATTCTCCATCTACAACTTGGTCTCCTAACAAAGACACTGCACAAGAAAAGAGGCGGGCTCAGTCTCCATCTCCTAAGAGAGAGACTGCATTAGAAAGCAAGGATTCTCAGTCACCATCCCCCAAGAGAGAGTCTGCTAGAGGACGGAGAAAATCTCGTTCTCTTTCACCAAAAAAAGATGTGGCCAGAGAAGGGAGGCCGTTTCGGTCTCCAAAGAGAGAGGATGCTAAGGAAGCCAAAAGATCGGAGTCCATATCCCCTAGACGCGATGCTCCTAGAGAGAACCAGAGATCTCAATCCAGAGTGAAAGACTCTTCCTCAAGAGAACAGTCTAGGTCCCGGAGCAGAGAAAGAGAGAGCGAGAGAGATGGCCAGAGGAGAGATCGAGACAGAGAAAGGAGAGTCAGAAGATGGTCAAGGTCCAGGTCTCGCTCTCGATCACCATCAAGATTGAGAACAAAAAGTAAGAGTTCATCATTTGGTAGAAATGAAAGAGATAGTTACTCTCCTCGGTGGAAGGAAAGGTGGACAAATGATGGCTGGAGGTGTCCTCGAGGTAATGACCGGTACCGAAGAAATGACTCAGAGAAACAGAACGAAAATACAAGAAAAGAAAAAAATGACATTTCTGATACTAATGATCCAAATTCCACAGATAAGCATAGGAATGACTGTCCCACTTGGGTAACGGAAAAAATAAACTCTGGGCCAGATCCAAGGACCAGAAATCCTGAAAAGTTAAAAGATTCCCACTGGGAAGAAAATAGAAATGAAAATTCAGGGAATTCTTGGAGTAAAAACTTTGGTGGCTCTGGCTGGATCTCCAACCGTGGTCGAGGTGGCCGAGGGAAAGGCACTTACAGAGGTAATTTTGCCTACACCGAACAGAGCGAGAACAGGTGGCAAAGCCGTACACCCCTTTCAGGGAGTGACTCCTTCAAGTCTGTGGAGCAGCAACCCTCTAAGCGAAAAAGTGAGCAAGACCTCTCTTTCGGTACGCCTGCAGACAGGTCAGGATGGACATCTGCCTCCAGTTGGGCGGTAAGAAAGACTCTGCCAGCAGATGTACAGAACTATTACTCTCGGCGTGGGAGGAACTCTTCAGGTCCACAGTCTGGGTGGATGAGACAAGAAGAGGAAGCACCTGAACAGGGTAATACTCTCTGCTTGTTCTTAATGTTTTACTTGAACAAGGAGATTATAAGTCACTTTTAATTATACAAATACATAGTAAATCAAGATTTATATTATATATATTTATATATATAATTTTTTTTTTTTTTTTAAGACAGGATCTCACCTTGGCTGGCCTGGAACTTGCTTTAAAGACCAAGCTGGTCTTAATCTCACAGAGATCCACCTGCTTCTCCTTTAGTTATGCAATTAAAGCCATGTGCCACCATGCCTGGCTCAATCAGTATTTTTTTAGCACCAAATTTCACCAGTGGCTGAAATATTTTATGTGTGTTTGCTGCATTAGAGGAGATTGGAATGTGGCTATACACAGTTTAACTTATATTTCATTTATTTCCAAAAAATAAAAGAAAAAGCTGTTATTGTTTGAATTAGTAATACTTAATTTTTATTTTTTTTATTTTTTTTTTAACATAGCGTCTTACATGTATCCCTGGCTAGAATTTGCAAAGTAGAACAGGGAGGCCTCTAAACTCAAAGAGCTGAGTTCTGGTATTAAAGAGTGAGCCCCACTCCTAGCTCTCTTTACTGATTTTCATACACTAGTGATTGTGAGCATTTTCTTTTGTTATAAAGTGGCTACATATTATTTAGAATTGACAGGATTAAGTAAGTAGATTTTGGTTTTGTTGTACCAAGCCTGTTGCTATTTGCTTCTCTGTTTTTGATGAGTATAAAAGTAGATTTTGGTTTTGTTGTACCAAGCCTGTTGCTATTTGCTTCTCTGTTAATGATGAGTATAACATTTTTTTTTTTTACAAAGCCTTTTTTCTCTTGACAGACTGTAACTTAAAAGACCAAACAAACCAAGTTGATGGTTCTCAGCTACCTGTAAATATGATGCAGCAACACATGAACGTAATTCAACCCCCAATGAACCCACAGCATCAGCCTATGAGCATCTTCCCATACCCAGTGGGTGTGCATGCTCCTTTGATGAATATGCAGCGTAACCCATTCACCATGCACCCTCAGCTGCCCATGCATCTCCACACAGGAGTGCCTCTCATGCAGGTAGCTGCCCCTGCCAGTGTACCTCAGGGACTGCCACCACCACCCCCTCCCCCACCATCCCAGCAGGTCAGCTACATCGCTTCTCAACCAGATGGGAAACAAGTGCAGGTATGTTCTTAGTAGCTTGAGTTAAATCACATTCAAACATAGCAAATAGGTTAAAAAAGGGCTTCCTGGCATTTAGGAACAGTGCTGTATTTGGCTATACTTCTAATTGATTTCTAAATTAATTATCATAATTCCTTTTCATTACCCTTTGTTAATTCCCATTCCTATCCCCAGACAGGAAAATTGGCCAAGAACATACATTATAAAGTGTAAGCTATATTCATACCATTATTTACATCCAAACAGTTTGTTGTTGTTTGGCTTGGTCAAATTAGTGAATTCAAGTTAGAGTCAGGTTTGAGTTCACTTTTTAAAAAAATTTCCTAAAATTTTAAAGACTTGGGAGCAAGATGGTTTCTAGTGATTATTTGTCTTAAGGCTTATGCTGTCTTGCTTGGGTAAACATTGGGCAAAGACATTATCCGTTACCATTTGCTTTATTTTTGTTTTGAGTTTACTCCACTAAGAAGAGATGAATCTGTGGAAGACCAAAAATGTAGATACTTTGCAAACATTGTGGTGCTCGTCATTGCCCCTGTACTTATTTTTTATTGTTGTATGTATGTGTGGGTGTAGACTTAGTGCCTGCCACAGTAGGCATGTGGATGTCAGAGAATCTTGTGAGTTCTAGGGATTGAACTCAGATTGTCAGGCTTGTGTGGCAAGCACTCTTGCCGTCCCCACATACATAATTTAAAAGACATTGAACTCATTTAAATAAAAGCTCTGTTGAAGAATATATTTACTTTTCTTCAGCTGGTCCTTGTATACATTTCCTAAAATAAGTACTTCCCTAAAGGATAAGGTTGAATCATGTTTGTTTGTTTGTTTGTTTCTTCGAGATAGGGTTTCTCTGTATAGCCCTGGCTATCCTGGAGCTCACTCTGTAGACCAGGCTGGACTCCAACTCAAAAGTCCACCTGCTTCTGCCTCCCGAGTGCTGCGACTGGTTGGGGGCTGGGGGGCACCACACCCAGCTGCTTTGTGTTTTTTAATGTCATTCCTGAAGTGGCATAGATATTTCTTTTGAGTGCAGTACTCCATTGACAGATGTTAACTCTTTAAAACAGGGCCTTCCAAGTGCTTGTCATGTAAGTAATAACATGACTACACAAGTCTTACCTGCTCCAGCAGCAGCCCCAGGAAACACAGGATCAGTTCAGGGACCAAGTTCTGGTAATACTTCATCATCAAGTCACGTCCAAGCCTCTAATGCTGCTGTAAAATTGGCAGAAAGCAAAGTAAGTGTTCCAGTGGAAGCCAGCGCAGATAGCTCGAAGACAGACAAGGCAAGTTCAAGGTTGAAGGCAACCTACACAATTCTGTATATAATAAAGATGAACAAATAACAGCTTTGATTTTATGAGAGATGGAGGGGACTTATTATTGGGAGTTTTAAATTCTGCTATTATCTGAAGGATTCTGTGTAGATAATGTTGATGCTTGGTGAGTTACTGGTAATATTGCATAATCAGCTTTAGAGATGTTTGATATATGTTTCTATATATGTATTTTATGTCATACATTTGTAAAGTTATTCATGATGTCAAAATACTGTTCAGTTTCATAGATTTCTAGAAAGCTCTTGAGACTAAGACTGGAAGGTAATAATTACACATTTTCTTCTCATCAGAAATTGCAAATTCAAGAAAAAGCAGCACAGGAAGTAAAATTGGCTATTAAGCCATTTTACCAAAATAAAGACATCACCAAGGAAGAGTACAAAGAGATTGTACGGAAAGCAGTGGACAAAGTAAGTGTAGTTGCAGCGTGGAGTATTTTAACCACCTCTGTTGTAATAAAGAATGGTTAAAGAATGCTAGATCCTGTTAGTCCTCATCTCCTTTACCTTTGAGTAAGGTGTATACATGGAAACAAGATGCAGTCTTTTGGATTTTCACAGTACTATCCATTTGGCACTGAGCGTGAAAACATTTCCCCCCTTTCTTTTAGGTTTGTCATAGTAAGAGTGGAGAAGTCAATTCTACTAAAGTGGCAAATCTGGTTAAAGCCTATGTAGACAAGTATAAATATTCTCGGAAGGGGAGCCAGAAGAAAGCTTTGGAAGAACCCGTGTCTACCGAGAAAAACATAGGCTGACATGCATGGAGAGTGCTTGCTGTACAGGACTCTGTCAAGATGTCTGCAAAGTGCAATTCAACGTATACCCTTACTGAAAAATCAGACAACTGTGATCGAAATCTGATTTTGATAAAATTATTTTTTTTATTGTAGGATATAATGTTTTGTTCTAAATATAGCTGTGCACTGCAACTTCTATATCTAACCCCCACCCTCAATAAAACAAATTCAAGGGAAAATCAAGGGTGTAATGGAATGTGCGTTTTTATCAGGAATGTGTTCTAGTGTGGATACTAGAAGATGGACAGCTTCTTAAGTGGGGATGCGCTGGTGTCAGAAGACATATCTCTATCTCTATATATAATACATTATTCTGTCAGGCTGAAAAGTCAAGTAGGGCCTTTATGACCTTCCCCGTCTAACTGTAGAAATTTAAACATGTATTGCCACTAATATTTCAGATATTAATAGAACATATCAATTACAGGTCCCTCCCTGATGTACTTTTGAAGCACATATCTGAGTAATTGCTTAGAAAGAAAGCAAATCATCATGAGTAAGACTTAGCTTCACACATGCAGGTGCTCTTCACCTGCTATCAACAGATCAAGGGCACACTGTGTGTATTGCTTTTGTTCCTGTCTCTCCCCACCTAGAAAAAAACAACAGCAGTTTCATTTGCTAGATTACAAGTTTGCCAGATCAAAGCTTTGTTGAGTTTAGACGACCAATTAGGGAGAAAGCTAGCTTTTTAAAAACTATGTTCTTTCATTATACCTTCTATCTCTCAGTTATGGCAAATTATTTGTGCCAAGTGGAGAATTGCTACTAGGTAGCGACTTTCCTTTTATTAGGACTAAGAATACCTACTCTACTGGCTTCAGGTTGTTGGTGAACTGTCGGGTCATGATGAAGTTCTCACACTGCAGAAGTTCCCGAATGCTTACAGTGAAGGGAGTGTTAATTTGGTGATTGGTAGCCATGCTGCAGAATTCTAGGTCTTCTAACATGTGTCTGACAGAAGGAGAGAGAAGTTAAATAATGATGTTTTTGCTTAGGTTATCAGGGACTAGAGTTTGTTTGCTTTTTTAAGCATTGAGATATGTTAATGTTTATGAAAGGTGAGTTCAGAGTGCCCTGGCACTGTTCTTTTCATCGGCATCTAGAAAAGTGAATTCTGTGATAAATTTAGATTCTAGATACAATTTTCAGGATATTAAATAGTTGAACAGATACCGAATGATAATGGATCCAAGTTGAGCACACTCGGTGAGGCCTCCCGCTCCCTCACTCACAGGAGTTGCTCTGTGAGGCTAGTTTTGATAGGCAGAATAATTCAGAGATTTTGATCCCAGAGTGATTACACTAGTGGGTAATAAGCTTTGTTAGGTTATGATTACAGTCCTAAAATACTTCCAAACAGTTTCTTGATCTTTATGTCTACATTTCTGGGCATTTATGATGCAATATGGTCTCGAAGTCAGAGATCCGCCCACCTCTGCCTCCCAAGTGCTGGAATTAAAGGCTTGTGCCACTACCGCTTGGCTATGATGCAGTATTTTACAGGCATTTTTAATTAGCTTGTGTTTAGATTTTGATGGCAGAAGTTTGGATATAGTTTCAAGGACCAGTGGCACACCTTCTTCATTTCAGTTCAGGATCCCACAGACAGTGGTGTGGGATTCTCGTCCTCCACTGACATTTGTGACAGATTGCTGTTTGTGTGCTGACTAATGATGCATCATGTTCTCTCCCTGCATTGTTTTCACTGACACCTGGGAAGTAAATGGCATTTTAAAGTTGGTTTTATATAATTTATCTTTCTCCAACAAGTTTGTAAGTTAAGCAGAAAAAAGGTGATAGGGTGAAATGTTTAGGTCTTATATCTTTGGGAGAACGCCACTATTCTTGAAATTAACGGGTGTGTGTTCCATATCTGAAAGGACGCTGGTAAGAGCAGTTCAGAATAGTTAATGATTGTTAGCTATTCTAGTATATTCTAATATGAGAATATATTCTAACTGGATTAATATATGAACTTTTAAAGAAAGAGTTAGAATATGCATGCTTTGTGTTAAGAAATAGCATTGCTTTTACATCCTTGGTTTTTCTTTTTTTCCTAAATTCACATTGGTTTTGCATGTGTATAAACTTATCAGTTTGTGGAGTTGCAGGTTCTCTTGATCATGACTCAGTATTGACTTGACTTTGGAACCTTGGGCCCTTTAACTTGATAGTCACATTGATCCATGTTTCTGGCTGTAAAAATGCCCAGTAGTAGTTACTCATTATTTTAACATTCCAAAAATTTCATATCTGTTTGTTGCTGTTCTGGTAACAACCACCACATCATCTCCATTATCTGCCTTTAAGTGGCCATGGTGTGCACTGCTGACTGTTCATGCAAAGAAATGTGGCCTCAGAAGCATAGTGGCTGCCCTGAGTCTTGACCTTGCAGTATGAGTTGCAGTGCTGTGTGCTGAAACAACACTCTAAAGCCAGATTGTGGTCTGTAATATATCCTAATAAATTCTTTTGCTAAACAAAGTAGTGTCTTTAAAATTTTATTAAGTTTTCTGGGAAATGATGACTTTTATATCATTTAAACCATTTCCAAATGTGTTGAATTATTTCTTGGAAATTTACCAAAGTAATGAGCATCATGATTACATTAACATCCAGGCAATAAAAAAAGGTCAGAGTTAGCTATAAGCATATATTTTAATAGTAGTTTTCCTAATTATATAATTACTTTTAGGAAATTTAAAACATTTAGTGATTTCTAAAGATAGAAGAGACTGGGAAACAAGGAAAAGTATCTGTAATTCTACCAAAGTTAACTTCTTGAATTTCAAGGCTGGCTGCAATGGACATTGCTATGTTATAACCTATTCTTTTCAATTCATGTATTGAGAATATTCCATTTTAATAAAAATTAATTTGACAGCATGACTTTTGGTGACTATATAGTATTCTATTACACAGCTGTACTCTTAAAACAGTCCCTTACTATTGGATATTTGATTTTCTTTGAAACAGGGTCTTAACATGTAGTCTGGCTAGCTTTGACCTCATTTACATAAACGAGGCTGGCTTTGAAGAAGTCCTGCCTCTGCTCCTGGGTGCAACAATTAACAGTGTGCCATTCTGCCCAGCTTATGTATAGATAAAGTAAATTAGCGGAGTACGCAGCTTAACTAACTTAAAGATGTTTTATCAAGGTGTAGCTCATGTAGCTTTGACTCCAGGGTTTGGGAGGCAGAGGGAGCATGATCAGGAATTCAAGACCTGAGTTTGAGTTCAGCTTGGGTTATAAGACACTCGCAAAAAAAAAAAAAAAAGCAAGACAAAACAACAACAAAAACCCAAGATGTTAATAGGAAATTTTTTTAACACCTAAATTTTTGCATCCTTATTTATGAATAATTTCTGGAGAATTGGTTATTCATTCATTTTTGCTAAAGATTCAAAAATTTACCAGTTTGTGTAATTTTTGAAAATTCAATTACTAGTATCATGTAAAACTTGTTTACTTAAAGTGATTTTCTGTAGAGAGACACCAGAAAAAAAAAAAAATGATTCTTCCCATTGTCACAATTGTTTTGTAAGGCAAAGTCCATTTCCTGTCTTCCCTGGTGTGAGCACTACTCTGAATTGCTCTGTGTCTGCCTCCTCACAGGGCAAAGATCCATCATTCAGTCAGTGTGTGTATACACTGTATTCTCTGTAAAGCAGGGTAGGTCATGTACAGTGTTTGTTTCTAACTGTCCTGTTGGTACCCTTTGTGACCACAATACCTTCTGTTTTTGTGTACTCAGGTGCATTGAATTTCAGTATACACATATTTTAAATGTGGATAATTCATTCTCTGAGAGGAGTTTAATTCATTTGAACCTACAGTGTCTGTGTTTACATTCTTTTCTGTATGTGCACCATATGGGTGCCTGGTGCTCATGGAGACCAGAAAAGGTCATCAGATCCCCTGGAGTTACAGATGGTTATGAGCTGCCTGTAGGTCCTAGGAACCCAGCCCAGGCCCTCTGAAGACAGCCAGTGCTCCTAACTGCTGAGCTGCCTCCCCAGCCCTGGTTCATCATCTCATATTTACCTCCTGTGTGTCGGAATTTCCTTCTTCACATGATAAATTTGATCTTGGAACATTCTAAGAGTGACAACATATTTATTGAGTTTTACTATGTCATCCTGCTGCATTTGTGTACCTCATTATAAAGCCAATTCTAGTACTTTTATGAGAAGTGGGTGTATAAGGATTAACCATTATCTAATTTTGTGGTTACTTAGTTACTAGCCCCAATATTCAGATCTCAGATTTGTAGACATAAGTTTGTGCTTGACTGGGAATGTAAATATCAGGATAGGAACAAGAAGACAAGCTGAGATGAAGTAAGTGTGGTAGAAAACACAGTTCTGCATAGGTGAGTGAGTGTCATGTCTAACTAACTGTGCCCCTTCATTTTAGTCTGGAGCTTTGAACATGTGCTGGGCCAGTTCTTTACCAACAAGCCACATCCAGACCCCCTTTTTTTTTTTTTTTTAATTTTTTCTAATACTACTTTTGGAGATGTGAAACTTTCTATCTTCAAGCCATTGGTTTGTGTGTTTTTTGTTTTTGTTTTTGTTTTTTTTAAACTGTACCATTTCCTTAAGTTTATATGAGGCACTAGAGGATGGCTCCAGCAGTTATGTGCTCTTAACTGCTCTTCCACAGGACCTGAGTTCAGATCCCAGCATCCACACCATGCTTGTAACTCACGGTAGGGCACCAGCACTTGTGCACATACTCCCACTCCAGAAACATTAAAAATGAAGTATTTAAAAAGAGCTTTATATGACTATGAGTCAAAACTAGCAAGCTTGCCTCCCTGAAATCAACAGCATCTGAATTGGTTCCTAATGGAACCCATTACTGTGGACTGCCTTGTTATACTCTAAGAAGTCTGTTACTGACCAGGTAGCACAAAAAGGAAAGAGAAAGACAGGGACAGAACTACAGAAACTTCTTTGTGGCTGAAGTGTCCTCTGTGCTTGCTTTGTCTCCAGATTCTTAGAGCCATCTTTCCCTTGGCTTCTACATTTACTATGGTGGGAATAAAAAGTATTGATATAATACCCCTTCTTAAAGTACAAGCAATATTGCTTGAAGAGGCCTGCATGGAAGGGCTGCAGGCATTCAGGAGAGCTGCTCTCCCCACCATCTCCCTGACTTGACCTTCAGCTCCTTCCCTTGGGTGCCTGTGACCTGCGGGTGCATCTGGCAGCTGATGGTTGTGACTCTTAATAGGTTTGTGGCTGAGAAACCTGTGAGCAAGTAGTGGTCCCAAATCATAAGCAGTTTATGAGTTTATTCATTGTCTAATGAGTGTTAGAGAAGATAATCTGTGGGGAGTCTTGACTTTGAAACTTTGAACCTGCGAGTTTCACCTGGGCTGGCACCTCCCAGCCCAGTTGTCTCCGAGCTGCTTAGCTGTTTCACAGGATTGAGTGCTGTGTCTTGACATTTTCTTGGGAAATTCCAGCCTGTTTAATCACCACTGGCTTTCTCATCCCTTGCACAAACATGAAAGTGTAACTTGTCCAGTGGCTTGTAATCAAGGTACATATTTAGGGTCACTTAGAGATTTTTTTTTAAAGGAATGCAGTTCTTAAGCCCACCCCAGACCAGTCTGCTCGTGGGGTGGGATGTTAAAACTTACCCAGACCTCACCCAGGATGCAGCTAAGGAGCAAAACATCAAGGAACTGGACTAGGTCCTCTGAAGATGCCCTGAATGGTAGCCCATCTGACAGAAGCAGCCTGTTCCCAGAAGCAACACACCTTATCTGATAGTTGGGGCACACACATTTACCCTTCAGGTTCTAATCTCGTTAATATCTGGGCTTAGACAACCTCCACCCAAACACTAAAAAGTGATAGTAAACTTTTTGCAGGGTATTTGAAAAGTTGGTGCAAATGAACTGCATTAGATTCCCAGTTAGGTTGTGTATACTAACTCAAATCTTTGTTTGCCTTCTAAAGTCATTGCAATGTTTTCCTTAGACATAGATGCATGCATCCCAGGTGGGCCTTGATATGTAGCTTGATACATAGCTGAGGATGGCCTTGGATTTCTGATTGTCCTGCCTTCACCTCCTCAGTGTAGGGCTCCAGGCCTTTGCTCCCACACTCCAGTGTACTGAGATCCTTAACAGCCACGACACATCCTCGTCAGCAACAGTGCAAGTCTTGGAGTGCTTACTGCCTCTGTGCTGACAAGTTTACTTGTAGTCTTCATCTAAGATTCCTGAGGAGGTTCCATTTAGTAATGTCATAGGAGTCACTTGTAGCCAGACCCCACAGCCTCAAAGCACAGCTGTCATGTGATCAAGATGGTGGGGTTGCTGTAGGTTGTGAAGCAGACCATTCACAATACTCCCTCAACCATGGAGCAGACTGAATGATCTTCCTGCTTTTGTTTTCCCCAGAGCAAGTGGAAAGCCCATCACTAGTTACTCTAAGGCTGCTGAAGTCACTTAGACCTATTGAGTCCTGGGACACCAATGCCTGTCTGTTCTCCCTTTTCTTTTTTGAGATAGGATCTGTATGTAGTTTTGGTTGTCTTGGAACTCACTCTGTAGACTCTATTAGCCTTGAACTCAAGAGATTTGCCTTTCTCTGCCTTCTGAGTGCTGGGATTAAAGGTGTGCAGTTCCACCATATCTGACTTCAATGCCATTACAAGCCTCCCAATGTAACTTAAAATTTTCACTATGAAATAGGTCTGTTCAAGAGGGGAAGTACTGTTCTGCCATTAGTTATTGTAACAGCCTAGAGGCCAATTAGGATTCTGACTCGTAAAATACCAGAAACTGCTCCATGGCAGTAATTTACTAGACAGCAATCACAAATCCATTCCCAAGTAACTACCCAAGGGCACCAAGAGGATTCATAGGATCCTTTACAATAGGTATACTCTTACTAGTGTGAGTGTATTCAGCTCTATAAATGTTACCGCTTCAGCAGTGAGCCATACTACTTTAAACTCAAAAATTAACGAGAAAATCATGGTAATTAGAGACAAATACTTAAGCTGAAAAGTGACTGCCTCTGAGATTCTGATGGGTTAGTGGAGCTTGGATTTAGGCTTGCTGTAAATAACACTGCATTTTGGTTTTTTGTTGTGACCAAGTACATTTGAAATATTGATTGTAGCTATAAACACAGTTACTGCTTAATTGTGTGTATGTGTGTGTGTGAAATCTTGGGTGTCAGTCTTGAGAATCTAATTCAGATCTCCATGCTTGTGTTACATTTTCAGACTGAGCTTTCCCACCCCCTTTTAAGTGTGGTTATATTACCAAAGGCAATGTGTCCACTTACCTACATACACAACACTGTCCCTTAGCATGTTTTTTCAAAGCAGTGCAGGGAGTGAGTTATGGAAATCGTTGCTAAAGAAATTTCACTGGCTGTAAAGATACCAGCCAGTGACGATGCCCCATCCATGGAAGAAGGCTAATTGTTCAGATAAGAGTTGTATAGCATAAGAGTGATAAACTAACATAAATATATAAATATAAATGCTGCCTTTTACTGTATTGTAAGACTGAACCAAGAACAAAGTGTGAGGTGCCCTGTGTGGCTTATCTTGAAGCCCCAATCTCACTTCTGAGCAGCTGCTCCTTTGGGGAAGAACCTCACATTTTCTTTTGTCTTCAGTACTTTAATCATGGTGTAAGATCAGGACAGAAGTCACTTATCCAAAACACTCATTTCAAAAATCAGTTTTATTGTCATTTTATAGTTTAAAAAACATACATGGCATGGCTATAAAGTAATGAGACAAGTTTTCATGTGTGGCTTGGTTTATTGAGTCTCATTAATATATAGTCATATCCTGTCTCAAGTCGGAAGAAAAATATGCCTTCACTATATGATCATCAGTTTTGTTACTTAAAATTTATTAAGTGCCAACAGAGCACTAGGCACATATTTAACACAGAATTGTGCAGTCTCTAAGTTGTTGACTATTATTTACATAGATTTCTCAAAGATAACATTAAAGCTTGTATTTACAGAACTTTAGACAAAAATAACAATACTGGAAGTCAGCAAGTTTCTGTCTAGCAAGGAGCACCTTTTCATGACTGCGAGGGTTAAGCAGAACCTAGAGTGCAAGAGCACTTCAATTCCATTCCTCACCAAGTCCATGTTATTCCATCAGTCAGATAAAGCTGTAAGAGGGAAATCCTAAGAGGGACGCTATAAATTGGTTTCCTTAGGTCAAATACATTTAGAAAATTCTGCTGAGACCATTGCTTAAAAGCACTAAAGACACATTTATGCATTTTAACACAAAGTCTGCAACTACAGGATGCAATCCAGTGAGGTGACAGGATGAGGACTATGGAAGTCATTTTCTTAAACCTGTCCTCTGCTAGGAAACATTAACCACCATGGTAATTTCCTGCTTTGAAAAGAAAAAGGTACCTTGAAGACAAGCAAACAGTGATGTTACAAAAAAATATTGTAGAAAAACTCAAATTTTTAGATAAACACAGTGAATAGAAAATTCCCCAACTGTCTGATCTCAGGAACTTGTAAGTCTGGTGATATTTGAGGGACACTCTACAGTATCTGGATTCAGAGTGTCTGCTGGGCTGCCCCAGTCTATAGAGGAGAAATCAAATGCCACCATCCTGAGAAATACAAGGTTTTCGGTGTCATATATTTCTTACAGATAGAGCTGAGTGCACAGACAGGGATCCATCCCCCTTTGGGGAGAAATTACTTTTTGGTACTAATAAGTGAATCAAGATATTTAAAATCTATGTCTGAACTGAAGCTCATCCCAAAGAATCTGCCCGATTCAAGTTAAACTGAGCCAACAGTCACAGAATGCTAAACAATAAAAGCTTTGTCAGATGCGTGACACTCAGTAAGGCATGCTGAACTTGAACTGCACCGGCTGTCTATCAGGTGCTCTCTGGGCTTGCTGTTCGTTATATCGTAAACAAGAATTTGGTCTCTTTCCTACATTGACCATGGTGTCTGTCACGTGATGCACCTTTCTGTTCTCTACAGTATCATCACAAAAGCTTATAAAGTAAGGAGGTGACCGTTGGACCTTGCCTTCAGCTAGACAGGATACTGTACATTTTAGAATGTCTTAAGCATACTCAGAAATAAAGGACTCAAGAAAATGTTCAGTCTTTTATTTAAAAACTATAAACAGTCACCAAAGTAAATAAAGCCATTCTATAACATAAACTGTCAGGTCTATATTTTATACTGCACATCCTAAGGACACAGCAGAAATGGTGGTTGGGAGGCCTTCCACATTTTTGGATGCTAATAGAACAGGCAATAGGCAGTTATAAGTGGATACATTTCACGCTTGGGGAAAAAGACAATTTAAGGAAGTGAGCAGTTTCTGAGCAGGAATGTGGTACAGTATTAAGAATGGAAGAATAATACAATAAAATTCCACACTATATTAAGATAGAAAAAGTAGTGAAGAAAATATCATACCTGCACATAATGCATATATAACACAGGAGAAAACCTGTATAAAATTCCATGTATTTAAACCAATTTACAAATACAAAAATTTTGTACAAGCTTTGAGCTTGCACATGACAAACGCTTACAGTGGATACATGTTAGGGGAAACAAAAAAGAAAAGAAAAAAAAAAAAGAAAAAACCCTTCAAATAGTTTGTCTTCTACAAAAATGACATGAGATATATTATTCCATACTCTTTCAGCCAGCAAAATGAGTCCTACAAGGTGTATAATACAAAAAAACCCAAAAGGGGGAAAAAATCCAAGAAAACCAAAAAAGAAAAGAAAAAAAAAATCACAGTTCCACAAAACTGTTTTGACTTTACAGCATCAGTACCTTTGCAGAAGTATTTACACAAATTTAAAGAACATTCATCCACTGCGTAGAATATATCACAATTACTTACAGTTGACAGGAAAGTCTAGAAAACGTCAGAGCCTACCAATAATGCTTCTAGGACACCACAGAATGTATTTCCAGTGGCTGCAGTGGTATGAAGGGTGTTCATTCTATTCACAAATATTTACAACATCTATTCAGACTGGTAAATTTTTATGATAATAAATAAGTGAAAATATATTGGCTCAAGTAAGAAAACCAAGCTACTGACTCTAACAAAACACACAATCCACAGCTAGATATCGGTGGCCCCTCTGAAGCTGGGGGTAGGTGTGCTCAAACTTTGTCTTTATTCAAACCAGCTTAAATGGTTTTGTAAATATAAAAATGTGCTCCTTTTTGGATATAGATAAAAATATTTAATGCTTCTATTTCATCTGCTCACGTAGGTTTTACACTATTCCATGTATATTCCAATGTGGATGGTACTGAATTCTGATCACACCAGTCTCCACCAGGATTGGCCAGACCCGAGACATCCTGCAGATAAGCTGGTTGACAATCCCACAGTAGTTTGTTGTTTTTTGTTTTTTTGTTTTTTTTTTTTTCCTTTTTAGATTTTTTTTTTTTAACAGAAAAGAAAGGGATTCGTTCAGAGATCAGAATACAAAGCTTCCTCTCGGCATCATGGGACGACACAAAATAATTCATTCTATGGTCTCTGCTCCATTAAGACTTGGTGCTTTCTTCAGTAACAGTATGTGAAATGTATCTGACTTTGAGTCCCCGCTGTGTAAGTGGTATAGGATTCACTACAGCATTTCCGAGTCTTTTTCTTGTTCTTTACTCTGAACTGTAAAATTAAGTTCATAAAGGCATTTGGCAAGGGTGGAGGAAGCTTCCATGTTACTAATGGCTAGTACTGATAAGTTGTTTTCATGTCTCTTTAACAATCTAGAAAACAAAACAAAATACAAAACAAAAACAGATTGTTAGTCTCCAGGATCATAGTTAAGATTCCTTATCACAGATTCTATAACTAAAATAGAAACATCATATAGTCCCATATGCAGCTAGTGTCCCATATGCAGCTTTGTAGAAAGAGGAGCAGCCAGCTAGCCATCAGTTAGTGCAATTTCCTGGTGAGTAAACAAAGGCCAGTTTCTGGGCCCCTGAAATCAACTGTCTTTTTTGCAGCATGGCAGGGTTTGTATTCACAGAAAGTTACACAGCCTATTTCTGTATCTTCATTCAGGGTTTTAGAAATTTCACAAGTCAGAAAATTGCTGGCAAGGAACAAAAACATTTATGAAATTGAAAATTTCTATCACAAAGGTCACAGTATTGATGTGGCTATGAATACAAAGAGACAGTGGGAGCATCACTTGGGAAAACAGCCTTGGGCTGTGTACTGAGTCAGCTGGGAATGGAAGACTAAACAGATGGGAGGAGACTAAGGCAAGCACACTAACTCAATGCTATATGATGTTCACTGTACAGTTATTTCAAGTTGGGCTTCACTGTGAAAGCTTTCACTTTAAACATCTGAGAAATAAGTCACACAGCAATAAATGGCCCAAGAACTTCACTATTTTCATTAAAATAATCCTGGGGAAGAGAAAGCAGAAAAGGGGCTGGAGAGATGACTCAGTGGTTAAGAGCCTGCTCCTGCCAAGGACCCGTGCTTGGTTCCAGCATCCATACCAGGTGGCTCAGGTTTCTGTAACTGCAGTACTATGGTCTGACACCTTCTGACTGCTGTGGGCAGTGCACACATGTGGTGTACATCCTCAGATGTAGGAAAAATGCAGAAAATAAAATAAGTATATCATAGAAAAAGAACAAAACCAGTAGGAAAAAAGGGTTAAGACATTCCTAAAATTGTAATAATGCTGCAGAGGAGTACATCACCGAAAAAGAAAAAAAAAAGAAAAAAAAAAGTTTACTCCACACGTAACGTAGAAGGCTGGAGAAAGCTCAGTGGTAGAATGCTTGCACAGAATGTCCAAGTCCCTAGGTTCACTGCCTATGACTGAGAACAAAGTGTGAACATCATGGGAACAGAACGGTAAGCATAATTCTGTACCTAATAATATGAACAAAATACTGCTACATGCAACCACAGGAACAAACCTCCCAGCTCCTGCTGAAGAAAACGGGGTTTCTGTGGTACTACACTGTGGCTTCTGTGGGTTACCACTTTCCAATAACACAACATTCTGCTCTGTGGACTCCATGCATGGCTTATTTCAAAATTTTAGTAAAATTTTAAAATCAACTGAAAATTGTATTTTTTTTTTTTTTTTACAAAAAAAGATGGTGCACATGCTTTACCAGTGAATCCAGGTATGCCCTGATCCTTCTACTACTACTATTATTATTACTTTTTTCTGAGACAGGGTTTCTTTGTGTAGCTTTGGAGCCTGTCCTGGAACTTGCTCTGTGGACCAGGCTGGCCTAGAACTCACAGTGATCTACCTGTCTCTGCCTCCTGAGTGCTGGGATTAAAGAGGTGCACCACCACTGGACAGCTTTCTCTTTATTTATATTTATTTATATCTTCAGGTTAAAAACTAATATAATAAATCTAACTTCTTTCTGTTTTTATTTGGCCCCCAAATTTCCAATTTCAAATACTAGCCAAAGTTGTATTACTAGAAACATTTTAAGATAAAAATTATTTTCTAGGAAAACCAAGCAGTTGCACAAAGCTTATATCCTACCACAAAACAGCACCAAGAGAGAAAGAAATCTATCTTGAGAAAAAAAACAGAAAAGCTTAGGTTTTAGATATGGACATTACGGGAGATGGGGAGAATTAACCAGCATGGAAAACATTCTCATTTCTAGAATGTTAACTGTCCTTAAACCTGCCTACCTACAACAGGGTGAGAATCAGAGGCATTTTCCATGTAGAGTAAAACAAAACCAAAAAACCCTCTTACAGAACTAACATTGTGGGACTGCTAATATACAAGCTAGCTCACTAGAAATCACCTATAGACAGCAACTGTCAGTGAAAAGCCATGAGCAAGAACTTGCTGCTCTTACATCCTTTCTTCACTGTATTTTCAGATGGTCTTGCAATGAGGCCTACCCTGACCTCTAACCCATGACCCCTTCTGTGATAGGTGCCCACAGTCATACCTGGTTTACATACTTTATTCTTAAAACATTAAGGAAATCCTAAAATACTGTAACATTTGAGGAAAGGATAATGATACAAAAGAGCAAGGGGGGCGGGGGACAGGGGACAACTGAAAAATACCATCACTGACATCTTCAGACAAAAACCTCAACAAACTGTCAGGATGTCACCAAACAGCCACTGGAAACAAATTAAGCTCTCAAGGAGGGAGAAGTTAAAAACCCTACAGGTTTGAGAATTATTAAAAGGTTTCCTGAAGAGATTATGGGAAAAAAAGCAAAAAGAAAGGAAAAGAAACACAAAAACTCACATTATCAAAGTATATGAATCCATACTCAATATATCCACTCACTGAAATAAACACAGACCTAGGGAACCCAGAGTAGCATGTGCAGGCAACAAACAGACACAACAGAACACCTGAAGTAATGTATGCATCTATAGCCAGCCGAAGAATATGCACAGACATGGTAGAAAAAAACTGAGGGTCCACAAGTAATCTATTAACAATGAAAACAATAAACTCAAAATGGATGAGTCAGCTGTGAGATATGAAACTGTTCCAAGAAAATATAAGGGAATACCCTCATCCATTGAAGTGGGCAATACTTTTTAGGACAAAATCCCAAATGCACAGGAAACTAACTCAAAAACAGACCAACATTTCTTCCCAGCAAAGGAAACAGCTATCAAGGTGGTAAGAGAACATGCTACCTATAGAACATGCATCTGACAGAGGTGACAGTCAGGGCATCGAGGGGACACCAAAATCTCAACAGCAAAACACATACAACCCGACTAAAGAATGGGCAACTTGCATAAATACACATTTCTTTAAAGACATAAAAATGGCTGAGAGCGTGGCTGGAGAGATGGCTCAGAGATTAAGAGCACCGACTGCTCTTCCAGAAGTCCCGAGTTCAATTCCCAGCCACCACATGGTGGCTCACAACCATCCGTGATGAGATCTGGTGCCCTCTTCTGGTGTGCAGATATACATGGAAGCAGAATGTTATATACATAATAAAAATCTTTAAAAAAAAGTTAAAAAAAAATGGCTGAGAGCTATATGGTCCAACATCATCTATCACCAGAGACCTGAAAAAAGGAAACCATGATACTGCCTCCAACAACAATGGCTATTTTATTATCAAAAGACAAGCCATGCACACTGCTGGTGGGAGTGTAAATCAGCACATGCCAAGGATGTCAGTAGATACTTCAAAAAAATTAAACTCATTACTGGCCCCACAGGCCCCAGTAATGGCCCTCAGTAAACAGAAAAGGCAACTGTTGTGCACCGACATCAAACAGTGTCCTAAAGGCTGTTCTGTGGAGGGACTGAGTTCTGGTAAAGAAGTTTTTGACTTCATCTATTGACTATCCATTAATGCACTAATATTGATTAAGTCATTGGGGATGTGTAGGGGATGCTGTAGCCATGCCTGCTGTCCAGTGAAGGATATTCAGGTGGCGGGGTTCTGCTTTCGGTTTCATTTTCGGTGTGCTGTACAGACTGCTGCCACACTGGCTGGCTAGGTTGCTCTGTAAGTAAGGCCTTTACTTATTAAAATCCCCTGTATTTTTACCTGGCTCCGTATTGGTAATTTCCCGCATTAGGGATGTGTGTGTGCAAGGATTGGTTGGTGGGTCCTGAGCTGGAGGAAGTAAGGTCATCTTCTGATGCAACCACTCAGAAGATGCTCACTACAGTTCTTTATATTTATTTTTTATGTGAAATTGGTGTCTTACCTGCATATGTGTCTGTGTGAAGGTGTTAGATCCCCTGGAACTGGAGTTACACACAGTTGTGAGCTGTCATATGTGGGTGCTGGTAATTGAACCCAGGTCCTTTGGAAGAGCAGGCAATGCTCTTAAACTGCTGAGTCATCTCTCCAGCCCCACTCACAGTTTCAAAGGCAATCTTTTTCTTTCCTTCCCTCCCTTACTCCCTCCAAGGTCTCGTTATGTAGCCTGGGCACTGGCTTGCAACTTGCTCTGTATATCTGCACTAATGAAAAGCTAACAAATTTAAATCACCCTACATGTTTACTGCAGCACCATTCATAAGAGCAAGATCGGGAAACAGCTGATGTGTCCATCAACTAATAAACGAACATGATACACACATAAATGAAATGCTAATCGGCCATTAAAACAAACAGATCCTGCCAAGTGTGTTAAGAGTTCACTGCCATTCACTATGCTGCATGACAGTAGCTAGGCACAAAAAGACAAGGACTACATGAGCTCATACATGGAAAGGCCAAAGGTTCATCTTAATCAAACTGAGTAGATGATACTTAGCCGGGACTAAGGAGGACAGGGAAGGAAAACTGGAGAAAGGTTGATCAGTGAGAACTAAGGCACTGTTTAAAGCCAAAGGCTCTGGTGTGACTACCATAGACATCAAAGAGCTAGAAGAAAGGAACCCCCCATATTTTTACCACAAAACAAAAATAAAAACACTATAAAAGGATGAAGACAGGCTTTGCACATTATGTAGTGTGTGTGTGTGTGTGTGTGTGTGTGTGTGTGTGTGTGTGTGTGTGTAAGTATCACAGAATACCCCATTAATATGTACAATTGTGTTTTGGTAACGGTTAAAACAACCTATAAGATATCAAAGTCACTAAACTTTAGAAAGCCAGAAATACATTAGAACTTCTGAGTGGAAAAATAGACCACATGCAAAGAAATGTGACCTAGAATGCCACTGGATCCTAGCAGCACATCCAGGGAAGACACTAGAGCAAAAATACTTTTCAAATCAAAATTTTATATCCAGATAAAAGAACACAGAGTA